TTGGTGTTTATCCTGAGGTATTGGCCAATCAGTGATAGCTCTGATCTTCTCCGGGTCCACCGATACTCCTTTGTCTGATACAACATGGCCGAGGTAATTAACCTGTTTGCGGAACAAGTTGCACTTCTTGGGGTTCAACTTGAGATTAGCCATCCGCAGTCGCATGAAGACATTCTCCAGGTTCTTCAGGTGGTCTTCGAAAGATTTGCCTAGGACGATAATGTCATCCAAGTATACCAGGCATGTTACCCATGACAATCCCCTGAGGACGTTCTCCATAAGCCTTTCAAAGGTAGCAGGGGCATTGCAAAGTCCAAAAGGCAGCACAGTGAAATGCCAAAGTCCTGTCCCAATAGAGAACGCTGTCTTCTCCTTGTCCTCAGGAGCGAGCCCGACCTGCCAGTAGCCACTTCTGAGGTCTAAGGTTGAGAATATCTGACATCCTCCCAGAGTGTCGAGTGTGTCATCAATCCTGGGTAGAGGGTAGCTGTCTTTCTTGGTGACATTGTTGAGAAGGCGGTAGTCTACGCAAAATCTTGTTGAGCCGTCTTTCTTTTTCACTAGTACCACAGGTGACACCCAAGGGCTGCTAGAAGGCTCGATGACACCATCTGCTTCCATCTCCTTTATGATTCTCTCGGCTTCGTCACGTTTTGCCAGTGGGAGTCGTCTAGGGGCCTGACGTATGGGTTTTGCATCTCCGGTGTCTATCTTGTGTTGTACTATACTCGTCCTTCCTCTAAGGCCACTTCCGTACTCAAAGACATCTTGCCATCTAATAATAAAGTCCTTTATTTTTGCACTTTGTTGATGCGTCAGCTCCTGACAGGTGCTCTCCACGAAATCTTCTAGCTCCTTCGGTAATCCATTTGGAGATGGCGGGCATGATTTTAGTTGACGTACCACCGAATTAACAGCCACGCACGTTCCGATCGTTACTCCTCTTTTTATCGTAACAGGAAAACCATTCAAGTTCATCAGTTGCACCGGATTTTCATGTCCTAAGTTAAATAAGGATCTGGCGACAAAGACACCACGTCCAAGCTGGGATTCACTGTCACTTGCTGGCTCCAGCAGAACACTTTGCCCACTAGTCCAATCTCCTTCAACTGTAGCTTGAACGATGACCTGGCTGCGCGCTGGTAGCGTTGTGTCTTCCAGTAGAAGTACGCGTGCAGAGATATCTTTTCCACGCCGAAGTATGACATCTTCGTCTCCGAGAGTCACTAGTCCTCTTGACATGTCCAACTTCAGTCCGTACTTCACCATTATATCAGTTGGTTCCCAAAATCACGTCCTCGTCTATGTCGGCAACTAGTGCGCAATGTTTAAATACGCAGCCGCCGATATGGAAGGTAGCAACCGTCTGCCCATAGACATGAGCCAGCTGACCTGTAGCTGTACGTAGAGACCATGATGTTGGTGAAATATCTTCAGTCGACACAGTGTTTGGATTCAGGATGGTCATAGTCGCTCCGGTGTCCAGAAGACAGCTTTGGAGACGCCCGTTCACCTTTCCGTCGATGTAGAAACTGCTTGACTGACTTCCCAGTGAAGCAACTTTAACACTTTTCCTCGGGGCTTTCGAATCACGGGCTGACGGTTGCCCCTTTCCATCAACCCTCCTTAGTTTTCCTGCTTCAGTTCTGATGTAGTCGAAGGACATTTACTCCGGGGATGTCCCATCTGTCCGCAGCTCCAACAGCGTATCTGTCGGCGACGAGTTTTTAGTGCCTCCAGCACTCTCTTCACCAGCTCCTCGATGTCGAGTGGAGATGTAGGTTCTGCGTCTACTACACGGACTCGGGCCTGACCTCTCACCGACTGCCGTACAGCCTCGAACTCCAGTGCCTGTGTCAGTGCGTCACTCAGGGTCTTAGGTCTGGCGAGCTTCACTGCCTGTTGAGTCTCAGGTTCACGTAGACCGTCTAGGAATTTATCCACTGCCAAACTCTCGTAGACATCATCCGTGACCGATGGATAGGCGTTTCTCACCAGACGAGCAATGTCGGCTTCAAATTCCTGAAGTGACTCGCTGGGTTTCTGGATCCGGTTCCGCAGTTGAGATCGGTAAAGCTGGTCCATGTGTCGATGCCCAAAGCGCATGTCCAATCTCCTCACTAGTTCTGGGAAATTCTTCCGCTCCGCCATTGGCATAGCATGCAGAACTGCTAACGCATCACCCCGTAGTGCAAGGCACAGTGCTGAAGCCTTTGTCTCCTCAGTCCACCCATGGACCATAGCCGCTGTCTCGAAGAGAAGCATGTAGTCCTCCCAGGGGGTTTTGCCATCGAAGTGAGGAACGATGTTCTGTGGGGCAACGGCAGCAGTGGTGGGCGCTGGCTTGGAGATCGTTTCTGGGGTGTTATCCTGCCGAAGTTCGTCCGTGCTAGCCGATGACGCAGGTGTGAAGCTTCCCGACGCAGCCATCTCCTGCCTGAGCTTATCAACTAACCTATCTTCTAGATTTTTTTCTAAACAATTAAATTTCTCATCCATTTCATTCATTCTACTTTCTAAACTATCAACTTTGCTCGAATATTCATCTAATTTGTTCAGCATTTTTGATTCTACATTTGACATTTTTGTCTCAATATTAGCTTCAAGGTTTCCTAACGCTTTACTAGTTTCTGACATTTTTGACTCAATGCTAGATTCTAAGTTTTTGTTATTTTCTAACATTTTTGACTCAATATTTGCTTCTAGGTTTGAAATTTTTGACTCTAATGCTTTGCTATTTTCTGACATTGACTCTAATGTTTTGCTATTATCTGACATTTTTGACTCTAAGTTTTTAAGCATTTTATTGAAATCAGATGTTTCAAATAAAACATTATCTGGGTCTTCACCTGCATCAATTAAAGCTTGTTTAAGGCGTGCCTGAAGGGCTGATTTAGTTCCACTAGTATCTAGATCTCGTTCTTCTAATTCTCTCCTCAGATCAGCTACTTTTAATTCATCAAGTTTTACACCTTTGAAAGCCATTTTTATGCAAACAATTAAAATAATTTTACAATAAATTATTTTGTCCTTTGTAAACAAATTTAAGACACAAATTGCTAATATATAACCAAGACCCTGATTTTTACTAATATCTAATCCAACTAAAATTAAACTCAATATTTTACTTTTAAAATCGCCAAAATAATCCCACTTCTGACACCAATTGTTGCGGGCTTAGCAGGTTCTTTACAAATAAAACTTGGCGATTTTATAATAACTATTTATTTACACTAAATATTATCTATTTACAAATTTTACAATTGCCTAACACCTAACTAACCCTATCTAAACCTAGCTAAAGCCTATTCTAATTTACAATGTTTCTACTTACAGCTAGCCTCTACAGGAATTATCACTACTTCTGTCACAACACTGTCACTACACTGTCACTAGTGTCACTACACTGTCCTACACCGTTACTACACTGTCACTCTCACTAGCACTAGCACTGGTCACCGACGGGCGCTTGCTGCGAGATTCTCGGAAGGCTTAACTCAACTCAACTGCCGTGTGCCGGAAGACGGTCCCTTATATAAGCTTGCCGTGGAACATTCTAGAGACTACTCGTAGGCTAGACAAAGGTGTTTACAGATCGCTGTGGAAGCTTCTGGTAGATGTCAAAACCCCTATTGACGTAGTCCGTTGACATGGGTCTATTGTCTTTCGGAGAACCCGTGTAAACAAACAATCCTTTTGAGACGACGCCTGGCTATTGTTGCGCGGGGCTCCTGGCTTGTAACATTTTTGTATAGTAGAATCAGAGATGCAATGAAACATATACTGTATTTGCTATTACATTTTTTAGTCCTTGATGCTTTGATAATCATATTAGTTTTGTCTGCTGTCTTTAATGCTAAATTAGTTGTTTGAAATTTTTTATAGTACCTATAGATATAGTTTCTTTAATATTTCAAAAGACTGTATTGATAAGGCACAGCAATATTTCTAAATTTTATAACAGCTGACTTATTGTGAGTTAAAAAACTGAACATGAAAGGATTTGTGATTTAATATAAAGAAGAGTTTAATATAAAGATATTTAAATTTAATAATTAGTATTTTTGCAACTTAAAAATTAAAATTTTAAATGTCAATAATAAATTAAAAGTTTTACTCAAAGATTTGGTCAGTTTTTCTCATATCAGCCTACACAAGATTTAAAATTAATCAAAACCAAAATGGTAATATCCAATATTTACCAGATTTAAAAGTCATTACTTAAACGATTCTATTAAGGCCATAAAAGTTGAATTTTGTTTCTAAAAGCGTTGGCGGATGTGTAACAATTATATGCAAGAGATAAAGATTAAAATGTTTCTATTTTGTGTCCTCTTCTCGTTGCAAAGCACGGGTACAACAGCTAGTAATTATAAAGTAGTTATTACGTTTCTAGTTGTAGAGTTATAGAAAAGGTACTAATTCCTCTCGATGTTGTATTTTGTTTGTTAGTCGTAATTTACGATTATTTGAATTAACTTAACTAAACGAACATTAATGGGGAAGGGGCTTTCTATACCTTCTTATTTTGTTTCGAATATACAAATGTATTTATACCGCCATTTTTATGGCAAAGGTTGTTACCATTGCCCTATAGCTTGCGATTGATTGAACACTATTGATTTTTGAAGAACAGAGGACAGCCTGCAGTATGCTATTCTCTACTAAAAGTACAGTAGTGCTTAACGGGTAGCATTTGTTTCTTGAAGGCTTTTCAGGCTCTTTCACAGTACACAGTACAATTTATTGGTCCCTGCTATATGTTATGTGGGTTTGGCTTAAGTTTTTAAACAAAAAAGACGAGTTCCTAACTATTCTTTGATTTAAGATTGGCGTTTAAAATTAATACATTTTTAGATTTGGTTGCTCCTACAACTAAGTAACAATTCAATAAATAAACATGTATTACGTTGATGTCAAAATTCAAGTTTGTTTATACATTATTGGGTCTACTGTGAGGATCATTGAGTTCATTAAGCCAATAAAGTGTTGAAGTATGTTGGTAAATAACATTTATTTTCTTTTACAATATTATGAAAAAAATATACAAACAATACTGTAAACAGGAAATAAATAATGACTAGAGGAGTTCAATAATCTACGAACAATCCTAAATAAAAATCTATACAAAATACTATTCTTATTCGTCTTTTAAATCTCTCTCTGAGAAAATATTGAAAATTAAATGACTGACTGATTAAAAAACTTACGAGTAAACCCATTGTTTTTGGTATAGAGGCTTATATAAAAATGAAATTATTATGTTGTATACAAAATTCCATATGAAAGGAAACAATGTTTTTTCCAAAACTATGTGGTTACATGTTAACATTCCTCTTTTAATATTAGTCGTAAAAACATTCTTTGATGTATAAAATTGAAAAAAAAACTACCTAATTTAATCATAAGGCTGTAAAATAGAAATTTTTACTGTTTAAAGATATTGCACTAAAGAGGTTTCATATGTGTAACAAAACTATAGGTAGAACAAGTTTATAATTATCTGTGTAAGAAATGATCATCTCATCTTGAGGTTGTCTCTCCCTATCTCAGATTCTATTAATCACCTCTTTGAGTTACCACAGAAATTGTATTGAATTTTTGCCCCTTTTCCACATATTTTCAAATGGTTTTCACTGAAGAAAGTGTAACAATGTGTAACACAACTGTTGGTTAAAACAAGTTTAAAATTAGATGTGAAAAGTTTATTGTCTCAAGGTGCAAGACAATTTTTTTCTTAACATTGTCTTTCCCAGCCTCAGGTTTTTTTATGGACTCCTTGATTGGGGATAAAATTATATTGCACTCTTTTCTTTTTATAGGGTTTTAAATGTCTATAATAAAAGAATGTTTCAGATTGTTCAGATAAACTAGAGGATGAACAAGTTAAATATGGACTGAGTTTGAAATCTTTTGTCTCAAGGTCGTCTTTTCCAAATTTGGATTCTGTTACAGCAATGAAAACCTAGAGCTGAGACAGAAATTTAATTGCACTTTTTCGTTTTCCATAGAGTTTAAATGTCTTTAACAAAACTAAGTATAACAATGTGTAACAAAACTGAAGGTTTAAAGAGTAAAAAATTTGACTCTGTGAGATATTGTTTGTCTCAACGTCTTCTTCCCCAACTTCATATTCTGTTGATGGACTCCTTGAGTTGAGCTAGAGACTCTGCCCCGGCCACTGCAATCATACCCTCCGGAGTCGATGGATCCTCCAAGCTCAGGATCCTCAGTGCTTCCTCCAGGATCCTTACCACTTCGTCCATGATCTTCTTGAACTCCTCCTTCTTTATTTCTCCGTACTCATATCTGTTTCTGTTGTATAGCATCAACGGAACATGAAGCTCATATAGAATTAGGCCTGGAAAGGATGGATGATATAAAATCTTGTGGACCTATCAACTGTATACAGTTGAATGATACTATCTAGGGAAAAGTCAATGTTTTTAGGGATGGTGGGTTACTGTGTTTGACGGATTATTGTGGACATTTTTTCCATCACAATTAGTAAAAAGCAGGGTTTCATGACAGTTCAGGGTTTGAAATCTGATTCCCTCCCCAAAGTACCTTACAACACTAAAGAAGACACAACAACATCACAAAAAGCAATAACATAACAAGATGTACCCATTTTGTGTGTAAGAGTGAAAATTTAAAAACGTACGTTTTCATGTCCCTGGCCTTTTACTTTGTAGATACTGGATTTGTAGTTTATTATTATGTGTTTTAATATTTTTTGGGATGGGGGCAACATGTTACACTAATTTATTTGGTTTTAAATAGGTTCTAGGTATTTTTTTCGTATTTTTAAAGTCTCAAAATTCACGACCATGACGTGTCCCTAGGGTACATTTTCCAACTTTCACGCTGTTTTTAGACTAATTATTCATGCCGAAATATATAAAGCCATATTTTTATCTCATCAATAGTTATTAAACTTACAAAAAAGGAGCATATTAAAATTGTATTGTCATTGCAAACTGACTACCATGACAAAATAAGTCTGTCTCTCGATTTGGCTTCACGACCATTTGGGAAAAATTTTCAACTTTGGAGCACGACAGTGGCAAGCCTGGCGTCGATGGAGTCAGTTGGTTTTAGAGACTAGTTCGGGATGTACATCAGGATTGTAGTGCTGGTCGTTTCGAGTTGAAAGAAGGAATTACAAGATTAATAAAGGAAAGGTTGTGTTTTTTGTAATTTTGGTGTGTCCATGACCATACGTAGTCATTCAATGAAGTAGACATGGTGTTAATTTTTGTTTATAAGATATTTCAATTGCTAGATTAACCTAGAAGTCCACTTTGTATCCTCGAACATGAGGTGCAGGGCTACCGCCAGAACAGAGCCAAATAACACGTAATTTCACGACCAAAGTTTCACGACCATCGCGGGTTTTTTCACAACCAATCCAGCCTTATGGATTATAGTGTGTTTGGTCGTGACAATAACTTTAATATAATTGTAAATTGAACAGTTTAGTTCAATTGAAACACATATTTTTATTATAACTAACAGTATAATTGAAGGATTGTTTAGAAAGATTTAGATTATTCCAGACAATTCATGACTGTACCGCTTGTCCCTGACCATCACGTTTATGATTTCTATAATAAAAATTTCAAAAATTAAAATATTGTCATATTTCAATGTTTTATTTATTTATGTTTTATGTATTCTTGAACAACACGACCATAATATTATCAACAAACTCAATGCTGTACTTTTATTAGTGAAATGATAAAGAGGTAAGGGTAGTTTTTATAGACTGTGATTATGGGTAATATTATAAGCAAACTAATTACAACAGACCAGATCACAAAAATTCTCAAAAAGTGAAACATTCTTGTCCTTAAGGTGTAAGGCTAGGGCCACAATAGGCGACAATTTCAACCTTTCAGTCTACTTTTTACCATACCAGTAAAAATAGAGTTTCGAGATGTTATATTATATTTTTTAAATTGTGTCATTGATTACGGAAATAAATAAGGATCTATGACTGTTTAGTGTTTATGTATGTTTTTGGACGATCTTAGAATACATCAATGTTTTTTACTATTATTTGCAGTATCATACAATTTAAGCGAATCTTACAAATTAAATCATATAGTTCAGGGCATAGTGCAGTGCTCAGATTTTGTCGCCCAGTGACTATGGGTGGTGCCGGTGTATTTTTTTTTTATGATTCACATTTTAAATGTATTGGAATTTAAAAAATAACATTATGTAAATATTTTAGAGTATAGGGCTATGATTTTGGCCCAAGAGGTTGTGAAGGGAGCCTTTTGGCTTGTTACAACCTTCAAGAATACGTAATTATAAAGTGAGATTATATGGACTATTTACAAGCAAATATAATCGAAAAATTCATTAAAAGATACGTAGCAATGTGTGATTTTCACTAACTTTAACTTAAGACTTAACTTAACCGGACCCCCTTTTTGATAGGGGGTATTCCATGCCCCTCAGACCCCCCGGTACTGTGTCGCCCAGTGGAAATCCCTTAAAATATGCTCTGATATAGTTACAGTATTTTCATACGTGCACCGGTGCCTCATATTTCGTACTAGGTCACGTAATAGTTTTTAACCATTTACCTGCAACAAAAGAAATACCATTTTTACTAAATAAAAGTGTTAAATTATGTTTCTAAAACCGATGTGGACGTCTAAATCGTCAGATCACATTTTAATGCTTGATGTTGCTATTTCTTGTATGTCTAAATACCCCCACCGCAAAAAACCTGCAGACTAAGAGAATTTACATTTGTTTGGCTAGATTTCCACTAAAATATTTACTGAGGTGTGCTTGTTAATTAAAATTTTATAGCTTAGTACAAAAGTAACAATATTGCAAAATTTTATTAAAATATATCCATAAACAAGCAAACTACAACAGTTTATTCTCCATAAAAATGGGCATTATAAATTTACAATTGTTTAAATTATCTCCGTAACAGCTAGGCTTTCAACACCGCTTAAAATGTACAAAATTATTTATTTTTTTTTAGCTAACAAAACAGTTTGGAACAGAATTGTGAAATTTATGTTTTAGGGTCAAAAATAAGAAAGACCTCATTTTATACCCCAATAAAGCCCCTTAAACCCCCATTCTCATAGTCTGATCATTCTAATTTGCGAGCTCGTTTTAATTAACGTTGGTTTAACATTTGTACCAAATACCTTTAAAATCTCATCAATTTTGCTTAAGTTATCGCCCTAATGGGCATAAAATATATACACTGCATATGTATATAGATACATATGAACTTATATATATGAATTTGAACGGAGGGTGTTTTTGCCTCTGAGGACCTCAAAACAAAAAATGAAGTCGGTCCCGGGCCTAGGTCCTACCATGCAACCGTATAATAGCTTATTCTCTATATGGAAAATTCGCTAAAAGGATGAGAAACCACAGGTATGGAGTGATTTACCTGAAACATCATTGTTTATGGATGGCGTTTTTGATATTGTAGGGTGACTTTCCCAGTGAATGACCGGTGCCTATGAATGACCGTTTCACTGTAAATCATCTATAATAAGAGTTAAATTAAGACAGGAGTGAAAACAACTAGTTTAGACAATAGATATTACTATATTCTTCATATTTAATCGTAATTTTTTAATTATTGTTAATTATTTATGTTTATTTTGGTGGTTTAGCTTGGACATGTTTTGAATTTTCGTTTTTAGCTTCTGCCACTATAAGAACTCTGCAGGAAAGGCTTATTTCATTACCTTTCTTTTGTGAAAAAGGCTGTTGAAATGGCGATTTATTTGGCTAATACTTTATATTAGGAGTGTATATAAATCTTAATCTATCTAATTCTATACGTAAGCCAAAAAATAAGTTTTTATTCAAGCGGTCACATACTGGAACAGATTCCTGGGCTAAACCAATGAATGACCGCTCGGTCATTTTTACTGGGTTTGGACTCAAATTTACAATTTACTATAAAAATGCTCAGAAATTATTAAGGAATATAATTATCGATATCAGACTAAAATTATAATTCATTTTCTTTTATCCAACCAGTGAATGACCGGACTCTATGTCGTAGTCATCTACTTATTTTTCTAGTAAACATTTGTCATTGAAATGGTTATTGATTTGTGTTTTATTTAGACCAGAGTTACTATTAATCCCAATCGAATATCCTCTTTGGCACTTTAAGACGTTTTTTTCCATCAGCTAATCAGTCCTGCCTATGTTTTCATTTTACATTACATGTAAAATGTTATATACTTCTGATAATGTTTTTATATAGCATTAGGCTTTTTCTTTTAAGCTTTGTTAACATTTTTAAACAATATAAATCCCCCTTTTTTGTATATTACTGATTTTATAAGTGATTTACTAAACCTTCCGAAGTCGGTCATTCACTGTCATAGGACTGGTCATTCATTGGCATGACATCGGTCATTTACTGGACTCATGACTTTGGTGTATAAAAAAACAATTTTTACATGCATAATTGATCTTTTATGGACAATTTATGATATGGGGCAAACCCTTAAATAGCAACCAAGAAGTAGGTGTAATCATATACATAATTAATACTCTCATTTAAGAGCATTGTTAAGTTAACAAAGAATTTTACCCTTAACCGGTCATTCACTGGGCAAGTCACCCTAACTTTTTTGTAGTATTTTTTGATGAGGATTCCTGTTATACCAGAAGAGTCAAATCTCATACATATGCTACAGGACACATGTTAACATGTCGACAACTATTTTGTCGAGGAAAATATTTGTATTTTAAAAGCATATTTTCCATATTTAACAATTGCCAGTCCAAAACTGAACAATATAGATATGAAAATAGAGCAGCAAAGGGTGTGTGAGCGAGCGACTTGTCGCCTTGAATGGCCGGTGCCGTATGATAACATAGGGAGCGTATTTGTCGCCGCGACCAAAAAACGCTCCCGGTCGCGTTTATTTTTCTGTCGCCGGTGGTTGCTGGTCGTGAGTCGCTTAGTGTGGCCGCCTCCATTTAATTAAATATTACGCACTTTCTTTCGTGGTCGCCGAGACTTTGTCGCCGCGACAAAGTCGCCAAGTGTAACCCTAGCCTAAGAGATAGATAGTCAGTAATTGGCACTCACTGTTGGAATTTACGCCTTCCTAGCCAACCAAACAGTCGTGAGACACAATAGTAAACTCAGTAGTAATATTGGTCTGCCAAGTTGTTTTTCAGCATCAGACTAATTTTGGTAACTGTAGCCAAATGGGCTATTTCTTCAAAGTTCTTTAAAAGTAAGCCACAATGAGTTGACCAATTTCAGCTGTACTTTGGATAGCTGCAGAAAACTGTTTAACTGAGTTAGAAAATCGGAAACACATGATCAAGAAAAATGTAAACCAAACATTAAATTTAAGGTATAATTTTAGTTTATTATACTTTTATTTATATTTTTACTATTGATGCTACCAAATTGCACTATTTTACAGACCTTAAAATTGTTCGAAATTACCACTTAAATTTAAAACCTAATCCAAAAATTGTATTTTCAATGAGTTACTGTTAAATATTAACAACTGTACCTTCTAGTTTATACCTATGTCTTTAGTCTATGACCCTATAGAAAGAAATGTTTTTAAAAATTAACCAAGCATGTCACACCTGTTATTGGATATGCGTTTACACCAATGGGATTTTTTTTAAGTAACAGTTTAAACTTATGGTCCTGGTCTATAGTTGTTCTTTTGTTATATAGCATCATTAATTGAAAGCCCAATGACAAATAGCATCTTGGTTCAAAATCCTCTCCGCTCCAAATCAAACCAACCTGACTCTTTTAAATTTTGTTTACAAAATTATCATTAAACCTCACCTCTGAACCTGTTCAGTCCAGGTTTAACCACATCAGCTGTTGCCAGCACCTGGCGACACAGTTCTATCTTCCGTTCCAGCAAGATGTCCGGAAGGTCTGCAAAGGTGTAGCCAGGAGCTCTTCCGTACAGTTGCACTAAGGTGTGACGCAGCGACATCATGTAAACATTACGAGGGTGCAGCACTGACTTGTACTTCTTCAACAGTCTCTCTGTCTCCTACAGAAAAAAATTAGTAGACTAAAACCTACGTCAGTCAGTTGAACTTAAAAAAATATATTAGTATAGTCAAGTAATAGGTAAATAATTATAGAGGTGTTGAACCTAATAGTGTTCAAAATTTTTTTCCAAAATGGACAAGTAACTTAGACAGTAGTTGCAAAGGAAGATAAAAGGTTAATTTGATTTATTAAACGCCAACAAACCAGAGTGTGTAGATATCAACAGGCATGGATTAGTGAACAATGAGAGTCGAGTGAAGGAGATAGATAGTTTTTTGTCATAAAGATCAATTGGATCTTGGTGACAAGACCATTTAATGTCCAATGGTCAAGAACAGTGCTGGGTCCAGCTTCAAAAAATCAAATAGCTACTTGTTTTTTCTCAGAAACGACCAACCAATTACAACTTGGAAGTGCAATGGTGGATCTAGAACTGTCACAAGGGGGGGCGAACCAGGGGGTCTGAGGGGGGTTCAGGGGTACCCCCCGAAAAATAGGTGTAAACTAAGTCTCCAAAATGACAGTTTTATACCCTTTCTTTGTCCAAAGTTAGTGTGACAAATTATTTTAAGCAATGTGTATGCACTACTGTATTACATGCAGTAAAAAATATATGTATATGTTTGCCCGAGGGGGGGGGGTGGTCGCCCCCTTCGCCCCCCCCTCTGGATCCGCCACTGTGGAAGTGCATTATAGGTTGCCATATGTTCCCTTCAGCCTTTTCCAGTGTTTATGTCTACGTTAATCATCTGGGGAGGGGAAAATGTCCCGATTTTTCCCTAACCAACTGTGGTAGCCCTACCCAGCTATGATTATGATAGGTGTAGATTAAGAATTCTACTACTGCTCCTTAGTACTATTCAAACATAACATATCTTAAATATTGTTACCTGAATTTTTATATCTCCTTCTTCAATAGCCTCTATCTGCTCTAGTTCGCTTTGTATCATCTTAAATATCTTCTTCAGGGTTTCAGCTCTGATGCAAAACTCACAATGTGAACACTTCCAGATAGCTTCTTGGTCTGTTTGAACAAAAGAAAATTAGTGAGGCTACAGCTAGGAGGCCAGAAATAACACAGGCTATAGTAGATAGTATGACATGACGTCCGGGGCTGTTTTAAACACATGTATGCTCTTTGGGCTTTGGTGTCCTTATTATGGTATTTATTTATATCATTGTTAATTTTTGTGTAATTTTTTCTAAGCGAATTTCCATTTCCCTGAACAGCAATAATTTATTCTCCATTCTCCATAAGAATAACAAATTTTCAGTTTTATGTCTTTTTTGCACAACAAGGCTTAAATATACTAAACAATCTGGTTTTGAAGCTCTTTAAATGTTTCAGAAAGGAATTGCAAAGTTTTATGATTCCAAGGTCGAAATGGCAGAACCCAATTTTATCCCATATTTTAACCCAATTTTACCCCTTTCCCATGGGTGATCATGCTAGTAAGTTTGCACCAAATTTAATCAATCAGATAATTTTTAGGAGGTATTGTTGGGAGGTATCGTGCTAACGGTCACATATGAATTTGAACGGAAGGTATTTTTGGCCTCCGGACCTCAAAAAAAAACCTGAATTGGTACTGGGGCTGATTTCTTGATAACCTTACCAAGAGGGTTGGTAGACATGATGAAGCCGTTGTCGCACTTTGTACACTTGAGTGTGCTAAGATGAGTCCCCAGCTCCGTAGGGTCAGCACAGCGTTTGCAATCACAGTCAAAGCGTTTGCTGTACTTGAGATTCTCCCTGCGGAGAATGGTGGACTGGATGCTTGAAGTGTAGGAAACTGTCAACTCACCTCCTTCTGGTACATCAATGGTTACCCTCACTCGACTCCTGCAACAAAATTGTTTTATATATAAAACATTGACATTGGATTTGAAGACTATGAAATTTGTGTAACATCACGCAAATCCATAGAGCTACTCTTAATGATCCTTGGTAAGACCTACTAATAAGTTGTATGTACTAATTAAGATACTTGATGAGAAGTAAATTTAAAGTAAGGCTAACACTGTTAGGAATGTAATAAACAGCTCAAGGGTATGTGTTTTAAGGAATGTTGTTAGGAGCAAGCTTCACAGGAATGAGAAATAGTCAACTCTGACACAAGACACAAGAAACATGAAAATTCTGCTGACCAATATTTCATTGGGCTTCAGAAAGTTTCCATACAATAAGTCAATATTAGAGAGTATCCAGACACTTGTTTTATCTTGAAACAGTAGGGTAACTGACCAATATAAACCTTTCACGTCTTGAACATACCTGAAGTTCTCCCCAGCATAGACTGTGTGAGTCGTGTTGGCAACACAGTTGTGTGACATGAGTCCTGTACGAGGATACAAGCCTCGGATGAAGAAGCCATACTGCGTCCTGATCTCAAAAGCATTCACCTCCAGAGCTCCTATTGCCCAATGGATCTCATCCTCGGTAAATCTGCAATTAAGTTGTATTAACAACAAGCAGGCTATAAATTAAAATTATCTTAACACACTCAAAGAACCTCATTTATGTTGTATTTACATAGGACTACAAAAAAAATTAATAGGTACCTACTATCTACACACAAAAGATGGTATAAAAAAGATGGGGGATAAGTTTCTATTGGGAACCTCAATCATAAGAGTCACTTTCCTACTTAAAATAAATACTACTTGCTGCAAGAAAATCTGGGAGGTTTCCTAGTAAAGCACCCCTACATTTATTCACTAATTAGGTTGTCCCTTTTTCATGGCAGTTAAGTGTTAACCAGTTTAGTACTGAAAATAAATAGATTCCATGAAATTCTTGTCACTTTCTTGCTGCAAGTCTCCAGAGTCAAGGCCAGTCTGGTATTGGAGTTGACTTTCTTGCCTCATGGTAATATTTATTCTTTTTTTTAATATGGACTGCATGAAAGTTGTGCAAAGAGAGTTTATCCAATGTTGCCAAATGTTCATCAAATACAGGAGAGGGCTATTTTTTGTGATTACAGTTTTAGCAACATGGACAGTGATAACAGATAAAGATAAAACCATATATATTTTGCTGGTAGTATCTTTAATACCAGTTCAAAGTGTACCACTGACCTAACATACAAGGTTGTGATAAGTATGTAATAATTATTTTACTAAACCTATTACAAAAAAATCATGTACAAGAATACAAAGAAATAATCGTGTTAAATATCATGCATAGCCTTTATGAAAAGAGGTACACAATTTTTGACTATTTTGTACACAGCGTAATCTTTACAAATTTATATCTACGAGCCGAGACTCACCTGTCCGCAAGTTTACACTTGTTGCGCAAGAACTCAACCACATTGACCTGCTCTATCTCCCAGTCGGGGTCTGTCTTGCGTCCCTCTGTGTGAGCCTCCAGATCTTTCACCTCGGCTTCCCATCGCTCCGGGTCTCGGTCCCTTTGTAGCAGCACCCGTAGTGGTGTGATGCACTCAAACTGAGGTGAACCGTTGAGGCTCGACAACTGTTCTTCTGTCTCAGGTTTGTAGCGCACTCCTGCTGCCTTGAATACTGTACACTCTGCCTGACAAATACAATGTCAGCTGTTTTACATAATCGTGAATACACTAATGTGTTTCAAAGTCAATGTTCAAGTTCAATGTGATGCATTGAATCTTGAATGTAGTGTTTTGTGCAGGTTTGTTTTAGGATGGATTTGATTGATGGTGTTTATGTATTTACAGATAAATGCATACAGTCCATAGCCTCCTCTAATACAAGGCAGTGGAATTGTGGAATTCAATGTCGCACTGGCCAACCTATTGCCATGGTAATAGCAGTAATAACAAACGTTTAAACATAAACATTGCTCAGATGCTCCATATTATAAAGTACAAGCTGTTTCAAATTGCTGGGACAAGAATGTTGGTGATGCCACTTTCGTCTCGCCGCGGCCTTGTATTAGAGGAAACTATATGTATACAGACACTCTAGCCTTGTCATTAACAAATTAAAAGAATAAAACAATCGATCAATCGTGAGACTTATTGACTAAACTGCAATGGTCCAACAAAAGCCCAAGTGTAGCAGTACATGTGGTTGTTAACTTGACTCCCAGGTAGCAGCAAATTTAAGGTAGCTTTCATCTGTTTTTGTTGAGTTTTACCACAGAGAATATGCCATTTATATTGTACTAGCTGTACCCGCGGGCTTTGCCCCGTTTAACTTCATAAGTGAGCTCGTTCGCATGGCTCAATCACGTCCTGGTTGACTTAACGTTTAGGTTGAAGCTCGTTCGCTGCGCTCACTTGCCTTCAGGTTAGCTCGTTCGCTACGCTAACTCGCCTCCAGGTTTTGATTGTATTCTATTGTCTGTGCTTTTACTCCCATAGAGTTTGTTGTAAGTGGAAGTTTGGTTACATTAGTCTTGCATCCGATTAGACCTTAGATATTTAATTGGGTTAAACGATTATTTGTATCTCATTAATATACCCATGCAATTCATAAATAGGATCTAAAAAAACTAGTAGTGAGAAATTATTACGTTAAGAATTTTTTTTTATTTGTACACAGCAGTTGTGTTTTATCCAGGACCGCTTAAGTTTTCAGGGGGGCATGTGGTTTTAGGTTTGTTGGGGATGCAAAGAAAATAAAAATTCCCCTACAAGGAAGGGGAAGAGGAGCACAATTATTTCCTGAGCCGTAGCGCAACACATAGAAACCGCAGGCTTCATTTTACCATCGTAAACACTGGTTTTGCAGACTGCTGGCCTATTTTGAAAAACAGTATTTAAAATGTTCAACATAATGACGAATTTGAATGTTCATATTTGTTGTATTACAATAAATATCACAACAATTGATGATTATATTACCGTTACCTGTTGGTGGGCCGTGTTCTTCTGACATTCTTCACCACAGATGGGCCACCCGCACTCGGAACACAAAGTTGACCCGTCCACCGGGCTGTAGCACCCGAGACACATCGGGTTTGACCCGGACTTGGGTCCGACAGCCCAAGGTACCTCCTCCAGCACCTCCTCACCAGCCTTGAGATCTTTAGCTGCTGCGAGGTATCTGCAAGTTTAGCAAGGAAATTTTTGTAGGCTACTATTTTTGTTCACTTCAAATTTGAAATCTTTTATGAATTTAACATACTACGATTGATTGATTCTAATTATTGACACATTCTGTGACTGACCAAGGCCCCACTAGAAAAACAGGCCATGCTGTAGGATCCATGACGTCACACTAGTGGATATATTTCATCGATAAATTCATTGCCATCGCCATTCCCATTTGTTTTAGGTAAATAAAACAAGCTGGCTGTTTTTAAGATTTTAATGGTAAGAGTTTAGTACAACTACCACTGTGACGTAGTGTTGCGCTGCCCGAGCTGCAGCATGGCCTGTTTTTCTAGTGGGGCCTTGGACTGCCTCACAAAACTATATCATAGACTAATCAACACAAGTATGTTTTATCTATGACTATGTTCTTACTCCTTTATTAATGAAAAATTGGCAACAGCTGGTCCATATAGATGGGATATTTACTTCAGTTTCCAATAGTCAATGATAGGATGCTATCTCTTACATAGTCGAGTAAATATAGGCACTTGAGATAGAACAAATTCCAACAAATGGTTTTTCAACGGTTTTTGGTAGTAATAGGTGTAGAAAGTACCAGGAAAAAAGTCTACCAAAATCGGACAACCGGAAGTCGGGGTTTTCCAAGATGGCCGCCATGAGGCCCTCAAATCGACAAGATGACTGCAAATTCGTCGATTCATAGTTCCAGGATTGGCCGATTTCCACGAAAATTGGCAAACACATGTAGAACTATATTTCCAACCTTAAATATGAAAACTAGGCAGACAAAGTAACCCAAAGATGAATTTTCAGGGTATTATGTGCTAAAAAATAAGATTTTTTACCTCAAATATATGTTTTTCTAATATTTTGTACAAAGTTTGTTATAATTTCAAATTTATTTTTTCACCATTAGATTCAACACAAAAAACATAATAATTTAGTATATTGAATCTTTGTTCTACTTCAATTTGTTACAGAGATATTGAAAGTAATAACTTTAGTATGTTTTCTTGCCGAGATAGCTCAATGTTAATCTTATGGAGAATAAGCATAAATATTAATATTATTTTTCATTAAACCTATATAGATAAGACTTTTTGTTCTGCTTCATATTATCTGTTTTAATATTTTTTTAACTAAAAATTCCTTTTTTGGCAGTTACCATTGCAGCAAACCTGCGTATTCGGTTCCTGAGTTTTAATCATAAAGAGAATAAGCAAAAAATCAATTTTTTTATTACTGTAGTCCGAGAAGTATAGAATATTACCTTAAAAAATTGCAAGAAACCCTTTTATGGTTTTATGTTGTAGTGTTGGGTATGCAGAGTAACATAGTAAAAATTGCCAAAAATCGGTCTACTGGAAAACCCCTACAATCAAGATTTAATATGACGAATTTTCTCAACATTGGAAAAATTTAAAAAAATCCACATGCATTTTCATTGATATTGACCACCACCGATATTTATTGGGTGGCCATTTCTTCATTTCGATAGAGAACGTGTTTTTGGCCGTCATTTTGGATCCCCCTATCGGATATAAATATTTTTAAATGTAATGACAGTGTCATTTCAATAGGGAACGTGTTTTTGGCCGTCATCTTGGATCGGCCATATTGGATATAAATACTTTTTTTAATGTAATGGCAATGTTGTGACACATTATTTTAAACTAGATTTTCACGCCCATTCCATTGCCAAAATGAGTTTTTAAATATCATTTTTTCGTTTAAAAGATATATTCAAACGAAAATTCTCCTGCATACATTTCTTAAGGACGTTTCGTATTTTAAACATTTTATAAGATTAGGCCTATTTTTTCTTATATCTCCAGTACATATTAACGCTTGCAGTTCGTTCTAGCCTTAAACATTTAGTAATGTAAGGGCTTTCATTTGAGCTATTGATCATTAAAATCTGACGAGTTAGAGACTAGTTACCAACCCCAACAAAATATTAAATTTCACTTTTTAGAAATACATTTTTATTAAAATATTTATATCTCGGGTTCTTAATACGCCACCAAGTTCTTTCTGGTTTAATATTACTCAGTAAATGTTTGGGTTAATTTTTTTAATCACTAAATAAAATGTGACAAATTTAATATGGGTCTGTCTTATTTAACAATAATTTTTTTTCGAGATTTGTCTTTAGTTTAAGACATATACCCCCAAATCGAAAAATAACTCCCAATACTCTTATGTACTTAACTAAAGACAGATTTCAAATGCAAATAATTTAATATTAAATTAAGGTGCATGACTCATTTTTTATTAATTAGTCAGATATTTTTTAGTAACTAATAAAATAAAAAACCTAATTCTCTACTGAGTAATTTGAGACCAGAAAGAACTTGGTGACGTATTAAGAACCCGAGATATAAATCATTTAATAAAAAATGATTTATAAAAAGTTAAATTTAATATTTTGTTGGGATCGGTATCTTGTCTCTAACTCGTAAAATTTTAATGATCAATAGCTCAAATGAAAGCCCTTACATCATTAATTATTTAAGAATGAACTACTAACTAAAGATAAGGAAAATAATCGTAAAAAATTTCAAAGTACAAAACGTTTAAAACAAAAAAATGTATTTAAAAACGGATTTCGGCAATGGAATATGCGTGAAAATCTAGTATATATAGTAATAATGTGTCACAACACTGTCGTTACAAAAAAAAATTATATCCAATAAGGTGGATCCAAAATGGCGGCCAAAATACGCTTCCCATCGAAATGAAGTACTGACCACCCAATAAATATCGATGTTGGTCCCAAGTCAATATTTAGAAAATTGTGCATAGAAAATGCTTATGGTATCTTTTTTTCAAAATTTGTCCAATGTTGGGAAAATCCGACTCTGCACACCCAAAACTACAACATAAAACCATAAAACGTTTTCTCGTATTGTTTTTAAGGTTATATTCTATACTTCTCGGATTAATAAGAAATTGATTTTTGCTTATTCTCTTTATGATTAAAACTGAGGAACCGAATACGTAGGTTTGCTGCAATGATAACTGCCAAAAAAGGATTTTTTAGTAAAAAAAAATATTAAAACAGATAATATGATGCAGAACAAGAAGTCTTATCTATATAGGTTTAATGAAAAATAATATTAATATTTATGCTTATTCTCCATAAGATTAACATTGAGATATCTCGGCAAGAATACATACTAAAGTTATTACTTTCAATATCTCTGTAAAAAATTGAAGCAGAACAAAGATTCAATATACTAAATTGTTAGGTTTTTTGTGTTGAATCTAATGATGAAAAAATAAATTTGAAATTATAACAAACTTTGTACAAAATATTAGAAAAACATATATTTGAGGTAAAAAATCTTATTTTTTAGCTCATAATACCCTGAAAATTCATCTTTGGGTTACTTTGTCTGCCTAGTTTTCATATTTAAGGTTGGAAATATAGTTCTACATGTGTTTGCCAATTTTCGTGGAAATCGGCCAATCCTGGAACTATGAATCGACGAATTTGCAGTCATCTTCTCGATTTGAGGGCCTCACGGCGGCCATCTTGGAAAACCCCGACTTCCGGTTGTCCGATTTTGGTAGACTTTTTTCCTGGTACTTTCTACATCTATTACTACCAAAAACCGTCGAAAAACCATTTGTTGGAATTTCTTCTATCTTAGAGGCTTTTTTGGGCTAAATTGACTCGTCTATACAGAGCTCTCTTCATTAACCAAGAAGCAAAGGATAAAAAATCAAATTTCAAAGATAACTGGAAGGACTTTCCTATAGACATTGGCATAAGAAAACATGGATCTTTCAAATTATGAACCAAAATGGGGTTTTCATCCGAGTTTATCAGACTTTGTTCATTATTATCAAATAGTAGCACGATATGGCTCCTAAAATCGCTAACATGAAATAGACTACAGATACAGATCTGTGTGTGGAATGTGGAACGTATCCAGCAAAGCAAGGGGTGAGCCGGTACAGTACAAAGGTGAACCCACTACATCGCTGCCTTGGGCCTGAAGTCCGTGACATTACCAACTGAGCCACCGACTCACCTAATTTTAGAATATGGTTTAGAATATCTTAGCTTTATAGAGTGTCCTTAGAGCTATTATTGGTATAATATTGCTAGAATAGATGTTGACTGTACTGTGATTATTGACTGATGATACGGTAAGTAAATATAACAATTAAACTTTATAAAAATAAAAGATAATAAAATGAAATAAACACAAATGAAAAATGTTATACCCTAGTGAATCAAAATAATGAACTAACACTGCTAACAGAAATCTATACTTTTAAAAGTTAAAACTACACTTAATTGGGCGAACAAATTAAAAATACATATTTCATTTGCCACATTTATAACTGCATTTAATAAGCTCAATCAAAATAATATTCAAATCGCAAAGAATAAACATAGATGGAGATGTCTTCAAGTTGCAGGCCCATATGACACTGCCAACAAGGGAATCGCAAGACTGAATTAGCCTGCGAAGCTGCCAGATTCAACATGAAGGATGAGGTGGCAGCCAGATTGAGTAAATATATCAGCTGCATCAGGTGGTAGTGGGAGGTCGTTGCTCTTTTATCACCAATACCTAGTCAATTGGATTCACTGATGATTTAGTGTGAAAATCAATTTCAAACAGTCAATAATTTACTGTGTTTAAATGTCCTTTTTGTGAAAGAAGGAGTTGGTTAGCCTTATTTTACGCTTAATCTGTATATTTGAATGATTGTATTTTCTGGTGTTGTATTTTGTTGGATATTAAAAAAACAATAAGGGATGCTCTCAAAGAAAATTGAAATATTGGAATTGAAATGTAATAATCAGTATCAGCAGTCTGGCACATACTTTCATCAATTAGCTTGTCAACAATGATCATGGGTAAGCAGTAGGAGTAACAACAACAAACAGACACAACTTCAAAAACAACTTTTTGTGTTCAGAGGGGGGGAGGGCAAAACTCGAACTCAAAAGTTTGATGAAGCCAGCAATACTTTCTCCACTGTTCTATTGTTATACTGTATTAGCTAGGGAGGGAAAGTGAAAAATACAAGTAGTACCGGTATTTAAACATTTTAACTTTTTTATAAAATCATGTTCTTAAACAAATTACACAAAATATCAACTGTTTTTTATGAATGTTAGGCCTTGTTAGTTATTATTATTTCATCCAATAATATATCACATGTTCTCTGAGGAACCGGTGTAGTGGTAGGCGGTTTCTTAACTATCTTTGTTCTAACACACACGGGACTCAAGAGAATATATAAAAGCGCTATAGGAAGTGTAACTATAGTAGCAAGGTAGAAATACTAAGTAGAAAATTAACTAACTATCATCAAACTATAGATTTCATTACTTGAAAAAGTTTGTTGAACTCAAAGTCCCCTTTTGGTTGGTTTAGCAACATTATTTGTTGACAAATGGACCTTCCACAGTAATTTGTTTATATTGTGAATGTTTACAGACACCACCTGCATTTTAAACACCTAGGAGAGGCAAGAACCATGTGGCATTCTTTTCTGTAGTTGTCAGACAATAAATGTTATTTATTTTTATGTTATTGAGTTACCTATTGTATAAAACATCATTTTTCAGAAAATGATTTATTTCATCCTAATTAGGCTGTAATAAACTAAGGTCTTACATTTTTAGTTAAAACCAACTATTTTATTTTACTTTTTACCTGCCAACTTTATCATTTTGCTTGATGGTGTAGTTTTTGGCCATTCCCCCAATCTTGGCTGTAAAAGAAATTAAATAGGTAAATTTCTTACTATTGACTTTTTTGCACCACCTACCTACCTAATAGTAACAGTTTTGTGTGTAAATTCAATACAGTATACAAATAATCTGTGTATGACTAAAATACTGTAGATGAGGACAGAAATACATATAGTTTTAAAACAATTAAAACTCTAACTAAGAGATTTATCAATAAAATGTCATGACAAAAACCTGTACATGTATAAAACTTTAATCTGTTCGATAAGATCTCTAGTTCATTTACAAATTCGTAAATTCCTCATTTAAGGCTGAAATTCAGTTATGAAAATACTAATATCGATGTATATTTATGTTTACAAACATATTTTTAAAAACTGAATTTCCAACATTATAAAAAAATGTTATGAGTTTCTGTTGACTTGTTGAGTTTGTTTGTACTAAAAGATCCAAGCAAATATTCAACATTGAAACAAATATAACTTTAGGTGTAAAAATATGACTTGGGTTATTTTTACTAGCTCTTCAGAATCAGCATCAATCATATAATTTAATTTATGTGGAATGCAATCTCTACAAACGCATTTAACAAGTCACTATTTTGAAATTTAAATGGGGAAATCAAGACAATGCAGATAAAATCATTTTAATTTTCAAAATGATAAATAATAATTCCATATTTTATTGTTTTTCAAAATGAAATGTTAAAAACTTTTTTGTTTTTGACAGTATGGTTCCTACATTTTAATACGAGTTTAATAAATGTAAGTATAGTCTACTATCTTTACATTATAGGGATAAAATCCAAATGTAATTGAAAATACAGGAAGTTAATTTCCACTAATTTTTATCGAAGAAACAACAAAATTACTCTCCAAATCATTCTAGATTTAAATAGCTAAGTAACTTAAGATTTTGTAACAAATTTAAATCCCTCCCAGTATCCTTTAATTATTTTACCAGATATTTAAAATTATAAATAAATCAGATATGTATGTCACGTTTTAACTAGAACATGTTGTAGTTCTAAAAATTAAATACTGGTACTAAATTTACTTACTGAAATGTTATTCTTTTAAAAGTTACGCCGGTAGACTACTTTGCACTGAAACACGGGATCAGTGAGTCACCTGTCCCGAACTGAGTGTTCAGACCCACGTTGAGGACAGCTAGAACCTCCGAGACTTGATTTATTTTTAGATCCTCACATTGTTTCTCCTGGCTTATAGTTGCCAGCTTTTAAATCCAAATTTCAGTCGCGTAAACAAGGAAACAATGTAAATTAGTATGTGATGCAAACGTTTATTGATTGTTTCTCCTGGCTTATAGTTGCCAGCTTTTAAATCCATTTTTGGTTTTGTAAACATCTTCTTATATAAATAAAATTATAGTTTTGTCTGTACATTGCTCAGAATCATAAGTTTTTAGGTTATTTTTACGTTTTTTAAAGAAGCCGAAACAAGTCTCATCTAAATTTCTGTCTGTCTGTCTGTCTGTAACACTCAAGATGGCATTTTACGCAATCTTCTCCAGGAAAACGAGAGTAGGGCCTACCTATCAAGATCCAAGTCATTTTAATGTATTCACTGGATTGGCGAGAGTGTCTTTAGCCATTAAAATATGGCTTCAATACTTTGTAAATAAAATTACGGACGTTCAAAAATGCAAGTTTTGTGCGATTTTTGTCAAGTTTTCGTCCAATTCTTATCACATAATCATCTATGAAATAACGAACAGCTGTTCGGATCAAGATTATTTTTTCTATCTGTCACTGATATGTTTACAAATACCGCAACCTAGTATTTCCGATCACGTTTTGAAGGCAATTCCCATCCAAGTGAGATTAAAAAACGTGTTTCTTACATAAAGGATTTAATTAATCGCAAGTGGAATAATATAGTGTAACCGTAAATTAAATTAATTAATAACTAGGCATCATCCAGGTCAGGAACCAGAGATTCTTTGGGTATAAAATTGTTCTGGAGTTTTGATAACCAGAAAGAAGACATTGAATCAGTGTTGTATACGGCTGGGAAACTTCAATTTATTAATGATCGTCCCCAATAGCTTAGAAACGAGGTTCCACTCATTGACGGCGCTTCAATGGCGGTTGTGTAAAGTGTAAAGTAAAAAATCACAACTGCAGTGGGTGATTGTAACAGAGGTTTACGGATGATGCTAAACTCGATTTTCCAATGTGTCACTTTTTGTTCCTACCATTGACTTTAATAGTCAATAGTTCATACTCACCGTGTGATGCAATCGCTGGACCATACAGCCAATAGGCCCATAGCCCATCTCTTGGGTACGCACGCTTATCCAATTATTTATAAGAACCTTTTCGACGACGATCCTTGATACCGGTACTTTTCCCTAGAATACACGGCCTACCATAGGTACTTAAGAAATAAAATTACAAACTTCCAAAAACCCAACGTTTTGTGATTTTTGTCAAATTTCCTTCTAATGTTAATAGATATACCAATCATTGTTTAGGGAATACGAAATCTATTAAATAACAGAAAGTTGTTGTATAAGGTTGTTTTTTTTTTCAAACTGTCACCGATAAGTTTACATTAAGAGTTGTTTACAAATAAGAAATTAATGGGAAATAACTTTGATTGCCGATAACTTTTTACGAGAAAATCCAAAACCAAGAGATCAATAACCTTGATTAACGCATATAATTGGTCGGATGTACTATAGTTCTTAACTGTAAACGTTGGTTTTTGGTACGGTACTGGTTCTTTTCTTTGAACCGTTGGTAGCAGCAAGATTCATTTTTACGTACCAACACATCACTGTAATTTACAAATTAGTTATCTTTGGTGTTGCACCTTATTTATTACAGGCGTATTCAATTTAATTGATGTCTTAACTGTATAAGTAAGTTTTGCTTTTTCTGTCTGGATTCCAAAATGTTAGTTTATGCTAAGAAACGATAACGCATTTTAGTAAAACATTTATTCAGCAAACCATCATGAATTGTTCAAACGCTTTGAACGTTGTTTATGTATCAATAGTTCGTGGCCTATTTTGGTAATTTTTATTATAAATTACCAATCTAAATCGTCTATAGATTTACTGTACTTCATTTCATATAGCAAACCGATTCATATAGTATTTCGACAGAATTTAATTCGGGTCATCTTCGGTCAGAGCAAATATAAATTGTTATGATAAAATTGTATGACATTAACAAAGATTTCAAATACTAATTTTATATGTACTTTGTTATGCTTAAAGCGTAGCAAATTCCCTAACTAAGTTCTGTATTTTTGTGTGTATGTCTGTTGGTAACGCATTAATGTCCTTATTTCTCAGTGTTTCACGGAAAGGACAAGATCACCTTGATAATGAAAATGTCAACCCGAATAAAGTGTTAAATTGTGAGGTTGAGGTAGTACCTTAAATACTGTTAACCATTGTGGAAAGTAACTTTCAATTATAATAGGCCAACCTTAGGGCTATGCCTTATAGATCTATAAGCATTTTTTGTTTAATAATTGGATTTAACATATGGACCAACAAGATCCGGGTGACATTTAATTGCGAAGCATTCGTTTTGGCTTGAAACGGTCAGATACTGTATTTGCGATGGTTTATATATAATAGTTTTGTCAGCATATCTGAAAGTATGCAAACCAACTGCTAAGCTTAATATAAGAAGGTTTTAACTGACTATGATAAGAGGGCACACAGCTAGTCGTAAATAAAAAATGTAAATCGTTTTCTGAACCTTGACATTGTTCAGATTTTAGAAATATTGTAAAACATTTCTTGTGTTAGACAATCCTGATTCTTTCTATTTAAATTTTGTTTCTCATTACTATTTTTAATATATCTTATTTATTTTCTTTGAGATGGAAACTACAAGTACAATCTTTTCTGAGGTGTGTTTCACCTTCCTATACGTACCAGGATGTTAAGTTGCTAATTTCGGAAAATTGAATAAGGTAAAACATAAATTATCAAGAAAGGTTTATTTGAGAATGTCAGGCTATGGTAAATAGTCCAGCACTAATACACAAAAATTAGAATATTTCCCTGTCACTGTTTTGTATGATGATTCCTGACCACAAAGATTTTGATAGCAAAAAACGTATTTACCGTACAAAAATCTAAATTATATTGATAACTGGTAGTAAAAATATCTGTTACAATTTTGCAGTAAATTAATCTATTATAAGTCACAAAAATAAAACTGGATCTAAATATTACACTAGACAAGATGAAGAACACAGTGATTGTTAGTAAATCATCAAAATAGATCCAGACAGGAATGCATCCAGAAATCACAAAGGTCAAGTCCGTTGAGTTGCAGATCATTTTAGTCACTTCCTAGACATCCATTCCTGCTGCAAAATAAATTATCTTTGCCTGATACAGCTTGTGTTTCATTGTATGTAATAGTTAATAGGTAGTATAGGTAATAGGTTGTGTTAACTTGTTAAAATTATCCAAGGAAATAAAAACTTATCAGGATTGAAAGTGGTGTTTGCTTTCAAGATGCTTGGATCTGCATGTAAACAATGATTTTGACAAATTATTTGCACATCACCCATTCGCCATAAGAATAGGTAGAATAAAAGTTTTAAATTTACAGTTTTTATGGGATTTTTCTTTAATCATTAATTAGATGTAGGCCACTTACAACGCTTCAATGTCATTTTTGTTTTAAGCTGTAAGTAACTGTAAATTATTTAGAGCAAATAAGAGACCTCATATAGTTAACTGGGCATAATCCACTTAATGTACAACTTAAATAGTAAATATGTTATATACCTGATTTTGTAATGTTGATTTGATATGTCCAGTATGGTCATAATAATATTTTTAGGCATATAATGAATTACTTGATGGTTTAAGACTTGAGGTAATCATATATAATAATTAAATCTGTAATTTCTGTGTTTATAGATATTGATTGTTCTAATACTAAACATTTATTATCTACCAACATATTTAGGCTATCTTATCAACTGAGTCATAAAACATCAATGGATAAAGCACTGCTAATATAATATTATTAAATAGTGCTTCAATTAAATTCCAAAGCATGATAGTTTTTAAATAAAGATAGAAACCCAACTTTATTTAGTTCCGTAAATATTTGATAACTTTCATAAAATTAATTAAATATTTCAATTAAGTGTTTACTTCGTCCCTTCTATTATTATCCCTGAGGAGAAAACTACAGAAATTATGTTACAGCTAACCAATACAATAGTATAAATAACAATATCACAAAATAAGAAAACTAGACAAAATCATGAATTTCTACTTGCATGAATTTCTGCATTTTTTTAGGGGAAAAAATACCCTAGTACAAGTGTAAATTTACTAAAAGGAAAATTGTATGGCAAATCTTAGACATGAGTGGATATTTATGTGGGTACTACAGTAATCCATGGTATCTCCTGGTATTTTTTTTCTTTTGTTTATTATTATGATTTTAACTGTGATTTTCCCATAAATTAACAACAAATCAGATAAAAAAAAACAGCTCGTCCAATTTTGATTAAAATTGTAGTATAAGGTATTTTTTAACTCTAAACTGCAACCCCAATTGCTATGGCTATGGTTGAAAACTTCTTTTGCGATTTTCCCCACAAAATATAGTTACTCCCACCACTTACCCATGATAAGGGTTATTGACAAACCAATTAATGAAAGAAAGTATTGTTTCAAATTGCTGATACTGTTTATTAAAATATTATGAACATGTTTGGGCTTAAATTGTGTTTCTGATGAACAATCAGTTGGTTTTGGTCAGTAACCTTGCCAGAGGGGTCAACTTCTCACTTAATTCCACATTAAGCCTTCATATAATTATAATTCTTCAATTCTCCCAAGTTTGCGTCCGTAAAAAGTGTTAATTTGTTTGAATACAAGAAGTAGGTATATCCAATATAGCAACTGGAAAATCATTTTTCCTATAGTTACCTGACAAAGTGGGCTTCCTTGCACTGATTATAGCACCCAAAGTAGCTAATTGCTGCCCTTACTTACTGTTGCTGCACTTATTTTACTTTGCCTCACTCCAGTGTATTCTAACCAAACACAATACAGTGTATACTTTTATTTGCCACGTAATACGTTTACACCTGAATAAGTTGAATCGCTTATTTTCAGAAATGCCTAAACAGCTGAAGAAGACAACTGCATTGTACACCTAGTTTTATTGTGCTTTATAGTAACTGCAAAGAAATCGAAAAATGTATTGTGTAACGCGGTGTAACGCGAGTGCAAAGCCACTTTTGAATGCCACACTTTGCACACTAGTTACACAAAACTAATAGTCTGAAGGTTGCCAGGGTATTTTATACTCTGTACTTTCTTTACTTTGCTTCTATAGGCTATTTCACTCATTGTTGATCAAATGTTTAAGGTTTTGTTTACTTGAAATAGTTTGCAAACACAGCACAAAGTATGTATACTCTACGTTTTAGTGAGGTAAAGAATAGAAAAACAAGATTAAAGCCTAAATCCAGGTGACATATTATTCATTTATGAATCTACTTATTCATTCTTACTACATACATAGGCTTGCTGCGATGTGCAGTATTTTTTATCCTTCGAGTTCATTGATCTGGTCCTCCTAATTCTGAATTCAAATTTTACCGCCTTAGTTGCCATCTTTGAAATTGACTAGCTAGTACAAATCAGAAACCTGTGCATCGACTAAACAAAATTAGTTTATTAAACTATAACTTTAAAATTATTTTAGATCTATAAAATTGTGATACACTATACATGAAATTCCCCATTCGTAAAAAAAAAAACATTCAATGAGTTGCATAGTTGTTTTAGCCTCAAACCCAAAGCCAAAGCTCGAAACAGACAGTACTGCTGCTGCCATCTATGTCAGTAAAATTTCTCTTCTACCTGGTCCTTTTGCTTCTGCTGGAGCAAACTTGTGCTTAGCCGGTATTTAATTAAAATTTAGTTGCATATCTCCAAATTTCTTCTCATCTTCACAAACTGTAAGTAAATGAATATTGATGAGCTATGTGCATCTTTGTATCATAAGTTAAGACGGAAACTGTGTCGCTCAATTTACTTTAAAATAGCTCTGGACAAACCCTTTCGATCTCGTGTTCTTTTGACACCCTAATTTCTTCTATAAGCTAGAGATTTTTCAAGTTCAGTAGTAGGCCCTAAATGAAACATTTGAGCCATGACTCTTTATTGAATATAACTGAGCTAAATTGGTTTCGAACATAACTTGACTAAATTTTCTTGAATTTGTAACCATTTCTGGCTATTGCCATGTCAATGATTTGCAGGTCAAACTTCCGATTTTGGGAGGACATAGGCCTAACATAGGACAGTTTATAACCAATTAAACACGGTCACTGATTTATTTACGTGTTGGAATTGGCTAACTGTCAATTGGGGCTTAGTTTAGGGCTGTGTCCTTTCAGGTGTACGGTCTTAGGTTGGTTTGTAAATCTTAAGTTAACTCTTAGGAGTAAAAATCTTATGCAGCTAAGTTTAGACTAAGATAGCTACTTTCCATTAAATGTGACCTTATTAAACTAACTTACAGGCTAGTATAGACTACATTTGGCCAAACCTTAGCCTACAAACAATTCAAATTAAAATAGGTCTTGGGATCTTAGGTTACATTACCTACAGCCGTTTTTAAACTATTTTAGTTAACTCAAGTGTTCTTTATGAATTAATTTTTAACATTATTGTTTTAATTAATTAACAACACGAGTGGGCTAACGGACCAAAGAGGATCAAGCATTGAGGGAAGAGAAGTAAATTGTCTGCTTTTAATTTACACTAATCACCTGTAGACCAAATTTAGGGTAGCCTAATTATTGCGATGAGGGTGACCAAGAGTACTATAGTAAGTTATATATCATTAGAAACTAGATTTTTACCTGAAAACAATGGTGCCAAATTTTTTCTGCTGCCACAAAAACTGAATTTACTACAATTTATTGAAGTTTATTTTAATGTTTTATTAGGAACATTGAATCTGCACCACAATGATTACACTGTAAAATCGAAGTTAATACCATAAACAATACACATTTTGCACAATTCACATTTATTGATTGATTATAACTTATATGCCATTTTAATGTAAATATTACCATCACAACCCACACTTAGAAAGATAATTACGTTATTTTAAGTAGGCTATAACTTATGTATTAGGTATTTGATTAAAATTAATTAACATTAATAAACACCTCTAGGTCGGACATATTTAATCTGGATTTAGGGACTAGATTATGAAAATTGAAGAAGGAATAGTAAAATTAATAAACAACAGATTGACATTATTCTAACCTAACCTAACCCAACCAAACTTCTCGGTCAGTTTAAAACTTGTTTTAAAAGTTGAAAAAGGCATGTGAGGTTGGTAGGTTGGATGTTATGCGGATTCGTGACTGTATAAAAAGTGTTTTGAAGTTAGATTAGATTAGGAAGGTAAAGTTTAGGCTATTATGAATTGAGTTGTTGATTTATATTATCTCCAGACTGTTTTTGCACTTTGTAAAAAGTACTAAAAACACGATTAAATAACAATTTATAAAATGCTGCACATTTTAAAAATTATTATTTATTGTGTTTGTAACAAAAATGGTAGGCCTACTTAAATTATGAAGAATGTCTGCGACAGTCAGATAAATTGGCACGACTTATGCATCATCTTAAGTAGGCTACTTACAATGAAATCCTGCCCAAAGGACAACATGGCTTTATACCTGGAAGATCTACCATAACGGCAATCACCGAGATCGTCGAGTACGTCATTGACAATCTGGAAACCGGGAAGACTGTTAGTGGAGCTTTTCTAGACCTGAGTAAGGCGTTTGATTGCCACGACCACCAGCTTATCCTCAAGAAACTTAAAGCCTATGGGATTAGAGACTCGGCTAAGGACTGGTTTCAGTCCTACCTGAAAGGAAGGCGCCAGGTCGTTGAAATCAGTTCCACGAAAAATGGCAAAACTGTCTCTTTCAGATCAGAGCTGATGAATGTTGCCAGAGGAGTCCCTCAAGGTTCAGTACTGGGTCCCATAATTTTTGCATTGTTCGCTGCAGATCTTCCGAACTACCGTACATGGAAGCACACAGTCATACTGTCATGTTTACTGACGACTCAGTTCTGTTAACCAGCAACTCATCTGCCGAAACTTTAGAGATTGAAAATTTCATTTCATTCAACAGAGCCAGGGATTACTGTTTCAACAATGATCTTGTTTTTAACGAGAGCAAAACACAACAACTCTTCTTTGGAAGGTTAAAGAATGAAGTGTCGTCTCCTCCAGAAATTGAAACAGCTCTGTTCACCAAATACCTTTGCGTAATCCTAGACCACAACTTGCGATGGGATATGCACGTGGATTTTCTCTGTCACAAACTCAGTTCTTCCCTGTTTGCTCTAAGGCGGATCAACCATGTCGCTACACCTGAAGCTACTCGTTCGGCCTACCACGCTTTGGTCGAGTCCCATATAAGATATGGAATTGTTCTATGGGGGAATTCATCGAAAGAGAATATGAGCCGGGTTCTCACCTTGCAGAAAAAATCCATTAGAGTTCTCGGAGATCTTCAGTGGAGAGAAAGCTGCAGGAACACCTTCAAGGCACTCGAGATTCCAACTGTTGCCACTATATGTATATATATATATATATATATGTGAAGTAGTTGTGTATGCAAGCAGGCAAAACCTCCTCAGGAACGCTGATGTTGTACATCCACACTACACAGGAAATGCTGGAAACTACAACTTACCTGCACATGACACTTCAAGATACTCCATGAAGCCATCAAACGCCGGGGCCAAGCTCTTTAATCTCCTTCCTTCGACCATTAAGAATGGAAACTCCATGTCCCTTAAGAAGAGGATGCTACACTGGATGATCGAGAACGAGAACCCTGTCTATACCATCGACGAGTTCATTGCACTCTGTGGAAGAGACTTTGACTTTTGTCAAAAATATATGGTTATTGTTTACTATTGTAATTTTTGACACCATTGCTGAGCTTAACGCCATGTAATAAAGTATCTCTCTCTCTCTCTCTCTCTAAATGTATGTTCCTACCGTACCTATTCAAAAATCAGTAGGCCTACTAAGTTAATGATTTTTGAGAGGGAAGTCCAAAACTTCTCAAATTATTTAAAGTTATTAACTTAGCCAACTTTTGAAATGTTACCTACTTTTCCTGTTAAAGGGAACATAGGCCTATCAATGATTGTTTTGATATAGGCCTAGGTCTTTCAAAATTTTACTTTTTGATCCGATATATCAATGTTAACGAATTAAACATAGACCCATCAGCTCCAGCTGACAACTACGATACGGTAACTTATTTTTCAGTAACATGAACAATAAAAAAAAATATAGGTATAAGTTAGGCCTTTGGAAATGAAACTATTCTAAACTAACCTACCTAACATTTAACCAAACTATATAATCCTATTTGATATTCTCCTCATGCCTTTTCTGTTATCAAACAGAATTTTCAAATACAGTAGTACAGCAAGTTTGGTTTTTATGTTAGGTTAGTTTAGAACATTTTCATTTCTACAAATTATTTTTGCCTAAACTAAACAAGAACAGTTTTCAACTTGTAATTTAAACGCGTTTAAAGATATTAAAACCGATGAAATGTGGATCGTAAAGGTAAACAAAAATATTGATGTAGGCCTATCTCGAAAAAATCATCGGTAATAATGAATGTTCCCTTTATAACTGGAAAAACCCATAAATTTAAAACACAAGCTAGAGCCTTGTCCATATTAAGTAGGCGTTCGAAGAATCTGTTTTTTGTCAATGAAATTGACGAAGATCCTCTATAAAATTTGTGGAAATTTCCTGTCGCAGTCGTACACAAATTCCTTTGTTCGCCTGAATATTTTAATTTATTGTTCTCTCTGTTAGGCCTACACTACACTCAACTCTGATTCATATTCAGCGACGACTGTCAAACATAAGCCTGGGACATATCTTGTCAACTTCAGCGATTATGTACTAGTATGCTGCGGCTTTTATCGTTACTAACCAGCATCTAATCCGTTGTCAGGCAGTGCATGGACAGTTGCTTGACAGAGAAGAATAGATATAGTGGGAAGGTTTATGAAGAGATTTGGTTCCAGGATGTCTGTTAATAAATTTTACGGAAGTTTCGAAGGCTGATTTTGAAGCATTAAGTTAATTAGGCTTGAGTTGGTCTATAGTTTTAGAAAATAACAACTTTGGTCAAAGCAATAAACAAATTAAAATTATTTAAACCACACCAGGGGTTTTATTCTCCTAAATAGGCATAGTGCCAAGGTACTTAAGGTGCCTAAGGTGTTGGCTAGGAGGTGGTAGGTCCTAGTAGGGGTAGTAGTAGGTCCCAATAGGCCTAATATGGGTTAGTCAATCCTGATTTTGATAAGTTATTGCTGTTTTTCTTCTCATGTTCTTTACCATATCTGCCTTGTTTTTGCCTATTTCCGCAGCAATGGCAGCATACCTGTCCTTCCTCATGTACCTTTTCATACAACAAGATGGGACATTGTCGTGAGACCAAAAATCATTACTCACCTTCCATAAACTTTAACGACAATAAATGGCGTGCTCTGTACTCTGAAAAATAACAAATAAACGACCACGAATTAAGAAATATTGAGCCTGGTATATATGCGCACCTTCCAATCACTACTAGCTTAAACTAACCATAAACAAACACAAAGGTTTGATTAAAAAGCAAACATTGTCTCTTTAAAAATGTGGACTACTTGGATCATCTGCCCCCAAAAATTTTGTTCAGGGACACGTCCACACTGCAGGATGGCGAACATTGTCTGTCGAAGTCATAAGTCATTTATTTGGCCAGATTTACATAAATGCATTGGCTAAGTGCACATCACAATGTATGGACAAACTTCCTTAAACGGTCAAACATGTTCGTTGACTTGCAGCTTTATGAACAAAGTATGCCCCTACATAATTATTATCAGCTCAATAATGCATCCAGTCAGATGAAAACCTCCTGTCTCTTATTAAGTTAATATGATGCTTTTTCCAGCCCTCTCAAAGGCATCTTTAGTAAAAAACTAAACTGAATACCTACCTACTAAAATTAACAAAGAAACCCCATTTAACATAGCCTATTTCTTCCTCGAAAAACTTATTTCAATCTCAAAAGCATGAGATTGATAATAGTAACCAACCCTAGAGGTAATATTGTCTTCAGTACGGTTATGGTACTTCAAACATATGCCATCATTTGACTATTCATAGGTTTGACTTATTCTGAAAACCTAGTAGGACTGATTAAGCTAATTTAGGCCTACGCAATTGAAAGATGGTTGCTAACTTACCTCAATATTAGTGAGTATTCCTTCAGTATCTGCATTATAATCTGCTGATTCAATATTGCTGTTCCAGGCCAGGGGCGTCACTTTGGGGGGGGGGGGGTAGGGGGGGAGCGAGAAAAAGAAAAGGGGAAAGAGAAAAGTTGGGAATTTCCTTGCCACGAGTTGGGACAGTTGGGAAGTCAGATACAAGAAAAATATATTTTTAAACTAAAAAAATTTAAATAGCCTATTTGCGAAAATCCATCAAAGATAAAAAATTTTTTTACTTGGACGAATAAACTTGATGTTTCTTTGATTTCATTTAACTTTGAATAAACTAGGCTAAACCATGGCTAAACACGCCTTATTTTAAGAAATTAATCAATTACCGGTAGCGGTACAGTTTGTTGGAATTTTGTTTACGAGAAATTTTGTTCCTTAATTGGACGTATGTTGGCTACCTTGATCCTGTCCTGTGTTGATGATTCTGAATGATTCGTCTGCGAGACTGCGAGTTTGAATTTTGAAAGTGCAAGCGATATAGCTCTTCAGTTCAATTATGTTGTTTTTTAGTGTTTACAAGAAATTCAAAAATATTTTTCACGTCAGTCTCATGATCTATTTTATACCTTTTTTTGTAGTATTTGGAGCAGGCTAACTTGCTAATAATAACTTGCAGGAGTACTTGCTAATAAGTAAATTTTAAAATAACATTAAAGATAGGTTTTGTATATCGGTATTACCTTTAAAACTCTTATTTTTTAATAACCTAAATGAAATATTTATTCTCTGAATATATTTTAAAAATCTACGGAAGTTATTTATCATTTCTTATTAAGAATTTACAAAAATGAATCAACTAATCACTCTGAAACATATCTACGCGGACAAAACATAACCTAAAATTTGATGTTTGAATAACCTAAAATTTGATGTTTGACTTTCACATCTAAGTTAGATTTTTGTCTAAGTTCTAGTTTGATGAGGATGAAGGTTAACATTTTTTTTTTTTTTGTATAATTTTATTATCAACCAAGTTGAACGTTTTTATTTCATACAAGTCTTATTTTAGGTTTATTCTTTTCTAGACTAGAATAATATTATTCACAACACTGATAGGCCTATATTTCATCATTACAAACTTGTTTAGGCCTAGTTGTAAGTTTTATGAAAGTTAAAGTGTTGATCTTAATATCAACTTCTAAAAGTATTGTAATTTCATTATTTTGTAATAAAATATTTTTTTCTATACCAATTTGTACTAGGCTTATTTTATATCCCTAAAATTGTACACTGCTACGTCTGCTACCACAATGGTTTGTAAAGTGTTTTAGATTTGAAACAATACTTATTCAAGTTTTTTTTTAAGTCATAAAATTTAATTATGAATTAGTATAAGTTTTAGACGTTTTTTGAATTGAGTAATTTTGTATATATGTAAAACTAGCTATGTTTTGTTAATGCAAGTTGATAAATACTGAATTGAGTGTGACTGCAGTGTAGTATAATAATTTGTAATTTTGAAAAATAGTACATAAATTGATTTTTTTAAATTAAAATAGTTGGGAAATTTGAGGCTTCTCCCCCCCCCCCCCTAGAATTTAACCAAGCAACGCCACTGTTCCAGGCTGGGTTAAGACAATAGGTTGAACAAAAGAAAGTTAGTTTGGATTAGAAAGTTATATTAATTGGTCAGGTTAGGTTTGGATTGGTTTTGTAGGGTCTTGTTTTTGTACGCACCATTAAGTTAGGCCTTTTTCCTATATGATAGAAGTACCCTGTACATTAGTACTGTGCAGAACCCAGTTTTTTTCTAAACAATTTAAACATCCATGTTGTTTTTATTTAGGGCCTAGATTTAAATTGGTTTGTCCTAGAGATATAAATCTTTAAAAAAGTCCAAACCAGGCAAATTCAATTCTATTTCATACTTTTATAAGTTATAACTTATTAGTATTATAGGCCTGCACTTTCCTGTTTCAGAAAAATGGCTCCTCCTACCTACGGTGACTTGGGAAAGAATGCCCGAGATGTCTTTGGCAAGGGCTACCACTTCGGTCTGTGGAAGTTGGATGTCAAGACCAAGACATCGACTGGAGTAGAGTTCTCCACTGGAGGTGTTTCTAACCAAGAGACTGGAAAGGTTTTCGGAACCCTGGAGACAAAATACAAATTTAAGGAATATGGTGAGTAGTAGGCCTATGGCAAATCAGAATGAGGTATAGTGCTTATTAAGGTAACAGGTTTACAGGTCTTATTTAGAAATTGGACCATGAAATTATTCGTGTGATGGTTGAACTCACTCAGTTGCATTTCAAGGTTGGGTGGTTAAGTGTATCTGGAAGGAAGTGAAGTTAGAAATGGTTCTAATGTTCTAATTAAAAAGGTCTATTTTCTCATAAATGACCATGAATATTTTATTCCAGTTAGGAGATTAATTTCACCCTGCTTGGATGTGCTTGCGTGCTAACTTGTTTTTGCTGCACTTTTTACTGTCGAAGCAAGGGTATACAAGGGCTCTATCTGAGATTTTTTGTCAATTACAAATGCTAGCTTAAAAATGAGTTAATTACCAAAAACATGTGGGAAAACTACCTCCTTTACATAGGCTTAAACCACGGTTTGTACAGCTCACAGTACCTAGGCTACTTTGGTAACAACGGAATGGTGTCCATTTTCTTTCACCAACCTATAGCAAGTCATTCAACGGTCTTGGACCATTGACTTTTAGATACTGAGATAGACGTTACATCTAGAGCTGTTGCCTATTTGTTATTGTATCAGTGCAATCTGTCGGTGGTTCAGTTTACTACGTCCAAGTTGGAATGTCTGGTCCATGAATAATAGTCAAAGTGACTGGACACAATTTGAATGTAGGCCTACATCCTAACTTACACATACAATTTTTCCAGGTGTAACATTCGCTGAGAAATGGAACACTGACAATGTCCTAGTTACTGAAGTTACCGCCCAAGACTTCTTGAAGGGACTTAAAGTCTCGTTGGACACATCATTCAAGCCCCAGACTGGGTTAGTTAGACTTTTATTGTTTTATTTTTCCTTAAGATATTCCTGTAAGTTTTGCACGCTGAGTAGGCCTATCCTGTAATGGCATGTTAACCGTGAGGCTGTTCATCGTGGGAGTGGGGCAGGTAAAAAATCGCGGTTTTGTTACCATCCTGTAAGTATTATTCTTTTATTATATGCCCTAATGTGTTGCACTTTTTTTGTTTGTAGGCCTATGCAACAAAACATAAATTTTTGTTCTCTTAGTCCTTGTATTTTATCCTACATATCTTCTCCTGTTTCGGTTATCTTCGGGTCTGGCTGTTTCCTAGGCCTCTTCAAACATCTTCTGTCCCTCCACATACTGCAAACCTGCACTCCTCTTTCTTCCACATCTCGTCTCACCTCGTCAATCTAGCTTCTATTAGGTCTTCCTTCTGGTCTTCTTCCGTTCATGTGAAGCTCACTAATTTTCCATTCTTCTTAAGTGGCCAAACCATCTCAATCTGGATTTCTCTACTCGTTCTTTCAAACTATTCCTCTTCTCAACTCTTCATTTCTCATTCTATCCAATCTTGTTTTCCCTTTAATACGTCTTACAAATTGCATTTCCCCAGCCTGCACCATACTCCATTTCCTCTCTGTTATATTCTTAACTTCTGCACCATATGTAACTATCAGTATATAATAAGATTTATACTTGGTAACTCTTGCAGTCTTTGGTATATTTTTATCCCAGACTAGATGTCTACCACTTTACTAGAATACCGCACCTTTCCCTCAGGGTGTCCACATTCTGGAAAGTCATGGAAAAAAATTATGGTCATTGAAAGTCATGGAAATAGGCAAAAAGTCATGGAAAGTCATGGAAATCCCCAATGATGGATGGATTTCAGGGGACCTTTCAATGCTATAGTCGGCCGTAACCGCGACTATTGTAGCATTTTTCAGAATTTTTCACAAATGTACGACAATTTCAATTTATACTGTTGTCTTAGTTTATGGGTTTTGAGTTTGTATTAGTTCATTGTTGTACCTATTGTACTCCATTGTTATCTGTTAATACATATTTCAATATTTTCTGCGAAATAACTTGTCTAGGCAGTATTATTCGTGTGTGTACGGTATATTATAATTTTTGAGTTAAGTTCGTGAGTCATGGAAATCAATGGTTAATGGTCATGGATAGTCATGGAAAGTCAGGGAAATTGATAACAATATTTCTGTGGACACCCTGTCCCTAGTCTATCCGTTACATCTTGTGCCATTCTCCCATCGTTTGATGATAGCACTGTGCCTAAATATGTAAATTTTTCGACCAACTTTCCCTCCATACACAAAGACTGAAATCCAACCATTGTTTATTATGTCATAGTAGTATCATTGTTTAAAGATTTCATTGGGCCATTATGATTTGTTCAGAACCTAGCACCAGTAGAGCCTTGTTAATAACGTAAACCTAACTAAGTCTGTGACTTTTGGGTGAATAATCTTGCCAACTGACAACAAACTAAGAACAAACTTAAGTTCTTTTTATTTAAGTTTTGCATGTTTTGTGTTGTTTTGTAGAAACTGTTATTTTGGAATATTTAATGCAATTACAGGCTAACCGAGACACTGAAACATAGAGTAAGGTGTAATTATTCTGGGCCGATAAAACTCGGAATAACATTCTCTTCCTCTTCCAGGGACAAGTCTATAAAGGCTAAAACAGAATACAAAAACCAGACTGTCGCGGCCAACGCTGACTTGGACTTTAAGACTGGAGCTCCTCTTGTCAATGCCTCCTTAGTATTTGGCTACGAAGGTGGGTACCTAACTTTTTTCATTGGTTTCTTGGATAGTTTTTATATCCTTTATATTCCCAGGAAGATAGCTTCTAGCTCGGAAATGTTTTCACACTACTTCTGAGGCTAGGTCTACAATGTTGCGGTACTCTCTCATTGCTAAAGCAACTTATGGTTGACTGGATTTGAATTCAGGACTTTGGATATTGAAGCCAAGCTTGCTTCCCTTGGATTGGTTTCTACTAAGAAAGTTATTATGAAGTCGATGATTTGTAATTTAACATTTTATGAATGCAGACATCCAATCCTAGGAAGTAGGCTAACTTTTCAGTTCTACTACTTACCGATCCCCTCATTTCAGTTTGAGTACAAAAAAAATCATGCGTTTTACAGTTACAGTAAATGCATAATTTATCTTTTTGTCTAACCATATGAAATTAAGCCTTAGTAGGCTATAGAAAAAAGGATTTTGAACTAGCCTACGATGTTTTAGAAAGGTACACTAGAATAGCCTATTATTAGGCTACACAGTAAATGAAAATAACTTGGATTAACTTCATAAAATACCCTCCAACAACAACACTTCTGAAGTTAATGAAATTAGCTATTACCCATGGGATTCACCTTGTTTGACTTCATTAAGTATTACCGGTAATAAAACTATTGATTTGTTAAGTAAGCTGAAATAAACAAAACAGAATACAGTAATACAAACAAATAATCACACATATTTTCATAAGGTAATAAATTGAAAGAATATCAAACAAATAAGTACAGCTGGGGTATTAACATTGGATACCTATATGGAAAGTTCCCTTTGGAAAGAAATTACGACCTTAAAGGGCAATTTATGAAAAAATTATAGTTTTGCGCAAGGTTTCTCGTTATGACGAACATTTTAAGTATATGGTGTGAAACAGAAGCTGTATTACCCACCAAATTTTATTTTATTGAAAAGAACCCATGTTTATCTAAACTATATTTCAGAAAACAAAATTTTTAAAAAAATTATAAAACTGGGATTGATTCAAAACGTTTATTCTGTTGTGTCCTAAAAAGTACCGGTAAATATAGTTTTGGTACACAGTTACTTAAACTTGTTTAGCTGTTAGTTTCTTGTTATGTATAAAGAGGATTGTTTAATTTATAGAAATGCAAAATATAATCCCTTTACGCTACACATATGCATATTAAATGAAGTTGATGAACACGTTTTAAACATAATATAAAAGTAGGAATAGAGTGTTATATGTCGAATTTGTTTGTAGGTTGGCTGGCTGGTGTCTCTTCCAAGTTTGACTCCCAGAAAGCCAAACTCGTTGGAAACAGCTTTTCTCTCGGCTATGCTGCCGGAAACATGGTCTTCCACAGCTCTGTGTAAGTACAATAGAAAGCTCACTATATTTCTGTTAAATACAGTAGTCTACTCTTGGCAATTTAAACACTTGATAAATCCAAACTTTCGATAATTAAAAATAATGTTTAGTCTGTAGAGAATCTCTTAGTATTACGAAGTTTTACCATGCATTTTAATACACTCAGTATTTTGAAGTTTAAGTAGACGGCGGGCCGATTTGAAACATGCAGTACCGGTAATTCAAAGTTCCATTAGCAAAACACTATAATTTGAAGGGAGGGATTCCTCTATGTCATAACAGGGAACTATAACTTACATCCTGTTATTACAGTAGGTTGTCTTAAATAATGTAATTGATGGTGCAAGGATAAATAGCAAAAAGCATATACAAATAATAGATTTTTTTGCAACTGACTAAAGAATAAGCTCTTTGTAATTTGATAATAGTTTATTTTTCTTCTGATAAATCAAACTCTTGATAAACTAGATTCAAATTTATTTTCTTGGCCCACCAATTTCAAATCATCAAGATTCTAATTTGCTGTTTTTGTGATATAGGCCCAAATTTACTTTCTTTAATGGGGGGGGGGGGGTTTATCAAATTTTCAACAAGCTTGCAGTTGTTTAAGTCAATTTATTTTCATATCCAGAGGAGCACATAATGTTTTGAATAAATTCATTAACATTCATCATATTTTTTATCTTCAACCAACATAAAAATTTAAAAATTACTGTATATAGCCTGATTGTAAAATTACATTCAACAAATGTTATTAACACAATAAAATAAGATTTAAATGTAGGGACTCATATTCTAGTTAAATTAGACCGGTATTCTTTTATCCAGAACATGTACTTGACATGAACTTAAGAGGTCGTAAGGAGACCTTTCATTGTATTATGTCCTATCAATAGCACATTAAATCATATTAGTCCGTAGTTTATGCATTTTGGCTTTTGTTTTACTAGGTAAATGTTATTTTGTGCACTTGGCTGACTAGTCTGTGTTGTCTAAATTTAGAACCTGGCAACAGCTGTTCTCAGTATAAATAGAATTAATTGAACATGTATCTATTGGTTTTTCCTTGTTGAACCTCTGAACACATGCTATTACAGTACACTCCCGATTAACGGATGTTATTGGGACCAAGACTGACTTGGCTGCTAGATTTCTGTTTTGCACTTTTACCTGCAAATTGATTGTTTCTCTGTTTCTTGCTATATTATCGGTTGTCTTTTTATATGGTTGATAATGTTTTAATCTATACTTATAAAAGGCAAAGCCCTCACTGACTCACTCACTCATCACTAATTCTCCCACTTCCCATTTACCTAGGAGGCTGAAATTCGGTACACCGATTCTTTGGGCATTAAATAGGAAAACTAAGTAGTTTTTATTCTGATCGGGCTTTCGGGCTCCGCCCCAGTGGCTCTGGAGTTTCCCATGTTAACCTTATGATTTTTCATATTTAAAAGGAATTAATGAATCTTAACAGCTGTTTCAATTAAACAAGTTGGTTCTGTTCTATGATGTTCAATAGCATTAAAGTTACAAGGATTACCAACAGGGTGCAGCACTATTATTTTTTTAAATTTATGACTACAGCTAATTTGCAAAAAAAGGTGAGTGAGCGTAGCGAACGAACTTCTTCCTGGAGGCGAGTTAGCGTAGCGAACGAGCTAACCTGAAGGCAAGTGAGCGCAGCGAACGAGCTCCAACCCAAAGGTGAGTGAGCGTAGCGAACGAACTTCAACCAGGACGTGATTGAGCCATGCGAACGAACTCATCTTGAAAATTAAGAAATTAAACGGGGCAAAGCCCGCGGGTACAGCTAGTTCACTATAAACTAAAAAAAAAATTAACAAAGTAATGTAATGAAACGATATACGTGATAATACAGTGAATGTATTTTTATTTAAAATTCCTTTGATAACCCCATTTTAACTACTCTTGCCTTCTTTACGTCTGCTCAAATTGTGTGACAACCACGTTTTTAAATCCATTGTGTAATCTTGTCTCATTAGTTTTACTGTTTCTTGAGGAAAACTACATTTTGACTATGATAGTGAATTGAAGGAAATTATTATAAGCTGTACTGTTGGAATCTGTACCAAACCGATGGCGGTAATTAATGAACCAATGTTTCTAGGGACAACGGCAATGACTTCAACGGGTCCATCTACCACAAGGTGAACTCCAACTTTGAGACAGGAGTGACTCTAGGCTGGTCTGCGGCCAACAATGACACTCGCATGGCCGTCGGCTGCAAGTACAACCTTGACGGTGACACAGCCGTGCGCGCCAAGGTCAACAAGAACCTTCACATCGGACTGTCTTATCAGCAGAAGTTGAGAGAGGGTGAGTCTACACTATCTTGCATGCTTAAGTCGTATTTTAACCAGAGCTTTGACTATTTATAGAATTTAAATTCCATCCCTATGTTAATGTGCTGCAAGTTTTAGGATAAAAATTATAGGTCACATATAGAATTTCTCATTTAAAAAAAAAACAAAGGCAGGAAGCAGATGTTTAGACTTTTAGAGCATTCTGTGATTAAACTTAGCTCTTTTTGACTATTTTCTAATTGAATAAATCATAGGCTGTAGCTGGTCCATAAAGTTGGGATGATTTAAGTCCAACAGTCAATGCTGACAGCAGGACCCTCTGCCATCTTGGATTTTCTGCCAATATCGGCAATGTTTATGGTTGAAGCATATTACGGCATTGATTATTAAGATAAAACGTCGCAAAATATCTCATGTTAAAGCTATTGAAACCACGAATTTGATTTGCTATCTATTTTTAAATTTTAATTGTTATTATTTTGTTAAACTACATAAATATAACTTTCTCAAGCTCTAAAACAAAAGTTTTAAAAATCCAAAAAGCAATTCACATAGAAAATATATTTAAGAATCACATACAATTTTCTGCTCGATAATCAAGCTTATGGTGCAAGATTAATATGCTTCAACGTGAACGTATGTTTTTGCTGATAGGCGCTAGGACAACCATTGTTTAGCCTGGCATCTGGCGGTCAACAACAATGTAAAACTATTGACTCCTGCCCAGGGACGTATTTAACTATCTGCCCCCTCTAGGCAGGGAATAAGTTAGCCACCTTGAGTTACCCCCCCCCCCCCACCATAGTTAGCGCGCTCACCTACCACAATAAGATTACACCAATACATGCCCTGCCAGCTTGTAGAAAAGTAATCGGCAATTGCATGCTGTATTAACAAATCTAACATGTTTAACCCTCTTTTACAGACGTTTTTGTTTCCCCATCTTTGATTGTTCCCCCATTGTTCAAAATGGTAGTATTTTATTTATATTCTCTCTTAGTTGAATGGATTCCAGTGGTTGATGTAACAAACAATATTTACAATCATGATTTGGCTGAACTATACTTTTTTCCAAGGCTATCAGGATCATTTTAAGCATTTGCTTTTGGGATTCAAAACAGAATTGTTTCTTTTGTTTCTTTAATTTGCAAAAATTACCATAACAATGCCTGGAACAAGAATAAAAATCCACCTTTCGGACAGTGTTAGCACACTATGAATCTTTTTGCAACATGGTTGTGTTTTCTGATTTCAGGTGTGACAATCGCTCTTTCTACTCTGGTTGACGGTAAGAACTTCCACGAAGGAGGCCACAAGGTGGGCTTCAGTCTTGAGCTCGAGGCCTAAACAGCCCATCTCTCCGAGGTTTGAAGAAAGAACTAGATGCTCACTCGTTCGTTCTCGATTCCAAAACCAAAAAGAAAAATCCACGTTAGGAAAGTGTTGGTGATAAAGAGACTGCATGTCGATATTCCAAAATCGTAGCATTTGAGTTGTACACCGATGTAGCGGGTGTAAATTTTGATTGACGGCTTGTAAGACACTGCTTCAACATTCTCATCTGTTTAGTAATGTAATTATCTTTCTTCAATCTTCACCATATAGTCAACGTTGACAATATTAATTTAAATATTGACAACAATTTGTATAACTATTAACTATCGAAATTTGCTGTTTAAAAAAAATCGAGATTATTGTAAATATTGTAATGAATTGTTGTTGGAGGAAACAGCTATTATAATCTGTAGTTGGAAGTAGGGCTGTTCTGTGTTTGTTTTATTCCCATCCTCTCGTCTATCTATACATAATATTTTGTTTTTGTTTTAATGTTATTTTCAGTGACTCCTTACTTTCTTATTATGTTATAAGACTTATAAGTATTCACTCAGCCTCAATATATTATCGTGTTGTTGGGTTTATGTAATACTAGTCATTTTGAAATTCTCAGGAAATGAATGTTCCAATATGAGCACTAGTATGGATTTTGATAAGCTCTTGGAGTCTAGTTAGTTTTATCCGATAAGAAATATTGGCAAGGTGTTAGAGGAGTTCCTAAATTTGGTTTTGAGTTGATGCTCTTATTGTTATTTCTTTTATATTAGTTGTTTACCTCAATAAAATTGAATTAAAAAAGCTGGTCACACCAGGTAATATGTTTATATGTTTTTAATCCAAATACCTCATATTCAGGGTTGTATTAAACATATAAAATGGAAAATGGTCATCATAACATTTAAAAACTCTTATTACATTCCTTGCAAGGATTTTAACAACTTTTGCACATCAAAGAGCTCCTAGACTGTTTATTAAAAGAATTCCATCAGAGTGGATTAATTTCAAGAATTAGTCCAAACTGTGGATGTGCAAATTTCATGCTTCCTTTTTAAACTGAACATTGCAATATTCATCATCCTCCAATAACTCTACTCTACTGAATAAATATGCCGTGTCGAAATCTGTGAAAAGGTTTGATGACCCAATAGTTTTAAATAATGTAAAGCTCACTTAAATAACCAGGCATTTAATTTTTAGCCAATTTGTGCTTCATTTTTACAAATCCTTAAAATACACTGATTTATAATAAGCATTTGAGACGCTCATTTGACTCACCACATGTGATATAGCTTAGCTAATTTAACAAGCTATATTACATCCATATTGTCAAGTTTCTCCTGCTTAGTTGGATAATTTGCAAATATAATATCTTCAGAGTAAACTATTCATGGTGTCGCGTCCATCAGTCAAGGAATTGAATGATCAGATTTTTACCCTGTAGATGTTTGAAAGGATTCAAAGAACCAACTGATAGTAGCAATATTCAGTAAAAAGCACAGAGCTCGAGTCGAGAGGACATATCAAATTAAGTTACTATTGTGAAAGTTAACCACTTCACCAAGTAACCAACTAAGATAACTCTGCGAAGTAGAAACAAAAAATACAGAATTTCTTATCCATAGAATCTGCATGATCAAAATGAGGCAGGGTTATACAAAGTATACACACAATGATAATAATAAAGGCATTTTAATAAAGTTTCCATTAAAAAATTAGCTGAATATTTACATGGGGATAAACATAAAATATATACATGAAAATATTTGAGACAAAGCCCAGAGAAGTAAGGTACAGAGGAAACATTCAATAATAAACTCAGGTGGTATCTAGCTATAGTCGCTGGTGTCTAGGGCATAGTCCAACACTGCCCCTCTTGCCCTCATCTACTACAATGCTTAAGTTGGAGGAAGAACATTTGCCCTGTGCGATAGGAATTTCCGCACAATGCTTGCTGTTCTGGTTCAAGTATATTTCCCGCACAACATAGAGCTGAAAACGCACTGTCATCTCATAGGCATGTTTACTCTGTACATTACTTCTCTGTGGACACAGCATATGTTAAGCAAAGTGAATGACTAGGGTTCAACGACTGAACCTTTCAGTGACTGAAGCATCTGATGAAGTGTTTGCTTCTGACTGAGGATGTGTCCTGTGTTGCAGTCATGACTGGCGATGAAACTTACAATCAGAGGCAAATCATTCATTTGAACAACCTGCGACAAAAATTACAAAAGAAATTAGGCTTTGTAGTTCTTGCAAGCTGTCCACATCCTGGAAAGTCAGGGATAGTCATAGAAAAAAAATGTGTCACAAAAAAAAATTAGGACAAAATGTGCCGTCCGGCCAATGCTGGCAAGCCAAGTACTCACCTTTCTTTTGTACACGTAGGACGTAGGAATTGGCTAACTCAGGAACTCGGTCGTGTGTCGGAACAGGCTAACCGTCTCAGTCAGGAATTGGCTAACTCCGGAACCCGCTAACTCGATTTTGTCCCACGGCGGAATTCGCTAACTCTGGAAGTCGCTAACCCGGCCGCGCCCACTGCACGGAGCGTTGCCAACCTTGTACGACTAAATAATCGTACACTGCCGTTTTTCAAAATGTCAGTGTCAATGAAGATACAGTAAATGTTATGGTTTTTTGTAATCAATTCCACTTTTAACAGATAACTAGCCCAAAGTAATTCAAAGACAATTAAAAAATCATGTAAAAGTGTTTTTTTTTTTTATTTAACTGTACAATGGCCAGTTAAATGTTAATGATTTCGATCTTAAATATAAATGCCATCAGTATAAAAGAAAATGATAGAATACGAAAAATATTGAAATTCAGGTTAATTGGTACAAAGTTATTAAACCTCTACGAAATTAAGCTAAAATACACGCAAGTTCTCAAACACTGAAAACAAATTTAATCGTAATGTCGTAATAAACCAAAACCATTAATTAATACAGTCCATCTATCGTATTAATAATCTATAATAATCGTATTAATCACATTATTACAACCATCGTAACTTTCATAACTAATTCATAGATTTGAAATTAAATGTTCGTCGTTGAACCGTCCAACTTACGTGTACAAATATGGCATAGACTAAGTTTCATATCAATTTATAGAATAGCTGTAGGCCTAATAGTTTAAACCAAAGCATTGTAGGCCTACTAGTAAATAATTGCCTAATTCTAAAATGTGTTGAATTTTTAGTAATAATGTTACATGTTTAATACATAATAATTACATGAGACTTATCACGGCAACTAACTGCTTTCGGAGCATGTCAAAAATCTTAGGATCCAGATTACTGTCAAAAGCCACAAAAATAAGAATTTATAAAACTATTATCCAACCGGTTCTCTTATATGGATCTGAGGCCTGGACCCTAACCAAACAAAACGAAAGGAGATTAATCGTCTTTGAGAACAAGATATTAAGAAAGATTTTTGGCCCTATAAAAGAAAGTGAAATATGGCGGATCATGAAAAACAGAGAACTCTACGAAGACCCAGATCAGTGGCGTATCCAGGGAGGGGGCCAGGCCCCCCCGAATTTTTTTTTTTTTTTTTAGTTGCTCACGGGCTACGACGTTGAATGCTGAATGTTGTTTCAAATCATAGCTATACACCCTGTACACACGGCACACGCGAGCGTTGCAACGCGCGTCCTAGAAACAGTCACGAATAAGAAACAGTCAAATGAGTGCGTACACACTACACAATACGTGTTGTTATTATATATCTATGAACAATTAATACACATGCAGATGCAGCGCCAGTGCTTCGGCCGCCGCACGATGAGTGACGCCCCTCCCCTCTCCAAACCGATTTACCGAATAGGCGCGGTTGGCTTTTTTGGGGGGCGCCAAAAATTGGAAAATAAAGAAATAAATTTGGTGATTGTATTTGTATGTGATTGCGGTATTTTATTAAAATTACGTCACGCAGATTAATAGTAATTAAGGCAACTTGTTTGGATTTCAGAATAGTAAAAAACTAATTTTTAGTGGTAATACACCAATATTATTCTCTACTTTAGAGCCTCCAGAGGTGTTGTAAACTGCAATTTAGCACCATAAAATACCAAAATTTTTGCGATTGGGACTGGTGGTTCAAGCCACAATATGGAGGGTATAGAATACCCCCCAGACCCCCCGGATCGGGCTCCCCCCAAAGCAGAATCCTGGCTACGCCACTGACCCAGATATAGTAGCTATTGTTAAGAGCCGAAGATTGAGGTGGGCAGGTCACATAGCGAGAAGAGAAGAAAACAGTCTCCTGAAGATAGCTACAAATGGACAACCACGAGGGACCCGACCACTAGGAAGACCTAAACTACGATGGGGAGACCAGGTGCGGAAAGACCTTCAGCGCATGGGGACATCAATTGACCAAGCAGCAGACAAGAAACACTGGAGGCAACTTGTTGGCGAGGCCAAAAACCAACTTAGGTTTGAATGGCCAAGGAGGTAAGGGTAAGGTAATGTTACATGTTTAAAACAGTTTTTAGATTGTACACCTAAGCACCACTAGTAAATAATAGGAGAAGATATAATATTCATATAATAAAACGTGACAGGGTTATTTTAATTCACGATTCTTAATCAACAAATTGATGGATTTTCCTGATTTGAGTGTTGGGTTTCCTTTATATTGCTTTCACAATCTAAATAAACTATACCAAGCCATTGCTTGGTTCTCGGTTCCCCGGTACTGAGCTACACAATAGACAAAAGCTTTGTTTTTGGATAAGATCAAGTAATTTTAGCTATGGCCACCATTCATAAGAATTGTAACAAACAAGAACGCCTGGGTCCATTTAGAACCATAAAAACTCCAGACTTTTAAAAAGTAGGCCTACTGAAAGACGTAAAATTAATATTAATTAAACAAACTTAAGAGGATGACCCGGGTTTTACACTAATGGCCTACGATAAAAGAAATTTACAAGTTGTATTTATGCATAGACTAATTTTTAATGCAATCCATGAATACATTAGGCCTACCGGTACCACTTTATAATGTATTGATCAATATTTATTTAAATTCAATAGCTCTATTTAAAAATACATTACTACTACAATGTATTTCTGTAATTACGTTTAACGTGTAAATTTTATCATGATTTATGATTCAAGGTTACAAGCCCAGTATATAACATACGAATTCAATAGTTTTATTTGTTCACAAAATGGTATTTATTTGAATAAAAAAAACAAATGGCGGACTATGAAAATAGATATTTCATTACATGTAAAAGATTAAAAATAAATGTACAGTATGTTATCTTTCTGCATGCCAATAAGCTACTATTTAAGCAAAAAAAACACATTTAAAACATACGAGTATTCCCTTATGTACATTTCTCATCCTTGGATCAGCTGAAGACAGTTTTATTGTTAGTTCTGTCCGGTGCAATGTCTTTAGAGGTTGTGTTTTGTTTACAATTGTTTCTTGTTTTTAGTCATAAAACCTCGTTTAACAACTAAAACGTTTTAATCACAACTAATAACATGTTCCCTAGTTATATAACGAAACAGTAAAGAAATCATGAAGTTGCCTATAAAATAATAGAAACACAATTTTGTTGACTCTAGCGATCAGTGTCACCGGACATGAACTAGACATGAAAAACGAGCTTCTAAGTTTACAATGGGATGTAAAGTTGACTTGTGTTGGTTAGTCTACGGTATGACTATAATGCATTTTTCACCCTAATAACATAAGAATAATATTAAACATACTTCTAAATATATTTATTTTATCGACTACGTTGCTCTTACTCCTAATTAATCGTAGGATACGACATTATGGTACCAATACGATATAGGTACTACACTTTCGGCAACACTGGCCAAAAATATTCGTGCTTGGCTCCCATTGGACGGCCCACGATGCTTCTGATTGGGAGTTAGCGAGTTCCGCCGAGGGACCGAGTTAGCGACTTCCGTATGAGGACGGAATTCGCTAACCCGGGGTTCCGGAGTTAGCCAATTCCGAAACCGAACAAGTTAGCGAGTTCCTCTCATCGACAAAATTTGAAGATAGTGCGTTTAACATGGGGTTAGCGAGTTCCAGAGTTAACCAATTCCGCGGACCCTCACAGACCATTAGTGCCTATTTCTGAAAATAACAGTTTTGGTGTGTATTACAAAATGCATGAGTAGCAAGCTCAACACACGACTTAAGAGCTATTTAGTGTGTTCCTGAACCCAACCCTAACAATGAGTGGGTAAAATATCCTTTCAAGAAGAGAAGTATTGGTGCCCTTGTTGGTCTTTCTTATTCTGAGCAACACCAATTGGTTGAACTCTCGTGCAGCAGAGCCTGATAGATTGCTTATGAAGAAAGTAACTTGACAAGGTTTTGGCTCAAGTTAAAGTACCAGAACTAGTCAAAAAAAGCTCTGGAATAGGAATACATAGTTCCTTTTTTGTTGAACTTATTTGTTTGAAAAAATATATTCTGAACTGTGCAACCTGAAGCCAGCAAAGAGAAATAGACTTCAAAATATTTTTAAACCGATTTAGGGTTAAAACTAAGTAAGATAAATCCCAACACTTAAGAGATTGTTAAAACAAACAAAAAACAATACCATGTCACACTAAAGTAACATGTCATGAAGTTATTGGAGTCATGTTATCCCAGAGTAGGTAGGCCCTACTTATTTCAATATGTAGAGCTATGTTAAAATAATGTTACCAAACCCAACAGATTATTTTTTTAACCTATACATTATTCCTTATTTCAAATAAAAAAGAAGTCATCTTTTGAAATGATAAATTTAAAATCAAAACTAAGGGGTCAAAATTAATGGGGAAGTTATTATATTATATATAAACATTTTCCTGAATGGAGCTCAGTAACCCATGGTTTTCTGCAGGGATCTAAATTGGGGCCTCTTCTGTTCATCCTCTACATCAATGACTTGTCTTTTTCACGTTCTTCCAAAATTATTCAATTCGCTGATGACACAACAATGTTAGTAAGAGCACCTTCTATTTTTTCTGCAACTAACATTGCATCCCGAGATTAAGATTCCATGATAACTTGGTTTGCACAAAACGGACTACATCTAAACTGTTCCAAAACTCATCTTCTTCATTTCCATAATCCACAACTGAAGGCAGGTGAGATAACAATCAAACTAAAATCAGGTGATTCCATAAAATCTTCTACAAATACTAAATTCCTGGGCGTAAACATAAATGAAAATCTAAAATGGTCTGATTATCAAATACAAATTAGCTTGTCTCTAGCAAAAGCACTGTTTGGTCTAAGGGTGGTTTTTAAGTCTTCGGGTTTGCATGCAGCTCTTGCTGTGTATCATTCTTATTTTATGTCTAGGTCTTCCTATGGTATTATCTCATGGGGCAGCTCCCCTATTACCAAGAATATTTTTATCTTACAAAAAATTTCCGTTAGAATTTTAGCTGATACCAGACCACGTTCCTCTTGCCGCCCCCTTTTTATTCAGATGAAACTCTTGACAATTTATGCAGTTTATATTTTTCAACTGTGCATCTTTGTAAAAAGAAATTATTAGGAATTTATGTTGAAAAATTACACTCATCAATATAACACGCGACAAAGGAATGATCTTCAATATCCTGTGCATAGAACAGCTCTGTATGAAGGATCGCCATGGTACATGGGTAGGAAATTTTACAATAACCTCCCAGATCAAATTAAAACTGAAGAAAATATGTCACCCTTTAAAGGGAAATTAAAATCTTATCTCATTCTCTTGTGTCCTTATTCCCTAGATGATTTTATAAAAACTTAGCTTTAGGTTTTATGGATTGAAAAAAAACAAAGAATTTAGCATAAGGTATTATTAGATAGCAAAGTAGTATTGACATGTCATATGTTTATATGTGAAAATCACAATCTTGTAAACTTATGTGACGAATAAACATTTCATTTCATGGGGGGGTTAGTTGGGGAAGGGTTGGGGGCAATTTTAGGGGTCCGTACATACATAATTAATCGAGAACCCCTGCATTAGTTGTTTCATGTTAAGGTTATTTATTATGACCATTTATTGCTATATGTATTAGCCTCTAGGTTTTAATTTACTCAGGCCAGCTTGCTAAGCTATATTATTTTCTCAGCAAAAAAACCTTCACCAACAACTTTGCTTTAAAAAAAATATTAATGCTTTTAAGGGAACATGATTAAATAAAACCCCTAAAATTAAATTGGATTTGCTGGATTTTGATTGGATGTCGTAGTTGCTATCGATGTCTTGTACGATGACTACATGAGCTTAAATATGACAACTGGGAGAGGAAAGATTAGTCAGAGTACAATATTTTCTTAAATTGTCTTACATAGCAATTTTACTAGCTTGTTGTATCGTATTTGTAAAAACTACACAAACCTGATAATTAGTGTATAAGCAGATGACCGCATTATTTTTGCCCAATCCAAGCTTGCTTCCTTGGTCAGTCGCCATTCCAAATGTTGACAGAAAATTCGGTCGCAAGGCAGATTCTGGTGCTTTGTCAGTAGAGGCTGTCATCAAAAGTATCAAATTAGTAGTTGAGATAATGCTTAATTTGCCCATTAAAATGTAGAAAAGACTATATTTTCCATATGAAATGAAAAAACATAGTAATAGGAACAACAATTTTAAACAAAAAAGCATTGGTATTTACATCTGATCTCACCTTTCAAAATGGGGACTCCATCTCGATCCGTTACCACCACACTGTATAAGCCATCAACTCTGAAACAATTGCTTATTTTACCATATGGTAGAGATTATGGTTTCCACAAACATTTAAAATAAACCTGAGCACATTTGATAGACCCCATTTGTGATGGATAAAAACAAGACTTTTCTATAGGCCGCACAAGGTGAAGTAAGTAAACATTTATTTATATGAAAATATCCATGAAGCATGTCATCCTGCAGGAAATTGAGTTATGTGCCCACACCTTTAACTCCTCTAAGATGTTTTCAGGATATAGTAAATCCAAATAAAAATTATGTATGTCAACTTGTGTGAATTCTTAAACTAAAAGAAAAATATTTTCAATAATCACTTTGCATGGCATCAGCTAATCATCGTAAGTTTGTTTTAGAATTGAGCTACAGCCAACATGAGGCAAGAAATCTGATAAAGTATTTCAACAATAAAAGTTGCCATCACATGAAAAGTTGGCCACACACAGATTTATATTAGCCTAGTTGAATTAAATGTATTAATGAAAAAATATTTGGAAACAGCAGTTTAAAAAGCAATCTTACAAGGTACAATAAATACCTATTTAGTACTCTTACTTACTTTGTTAGCAAAGAATTTAAGAACTTCTTCATATCCTAGAAAACAGAACAAAAAAGCAAATTAATAGGTAACTTAGATAACTAATCAACAATACTTACATAAAAAAACCTCAATACTCTTATTATGTTCTATTCTTGCATCATATCTAATTTGTTTTTGATTTGTTTACTTCGAGTCTGGTCAAAAATGTTACCTTCAGGCCTCAGGCCAAAATCTGTTCGGATCAAAATTGGTTTGCTTTGGAAAGTGATTTTTAAATAGAGAATATCAATTTTCGAGCCTGGCCTACAAGCTTGAATGATCTAACTTTGTAATTGTTGATTTTTAGTAGAGAATATCGATTTTCGAGTTAAGACGAGCCTAGCCTACAGGCTTGAGAAATCTAGCACAAAGTCAGAAAATCAAGCTCAAGCCGAATTTTTACGACCGCGATAACATTGTGACCGCAGAATGTATACTGCGAGGATCACACAATTGAAAGATTCATGTTTTTTCTGCAATTGCGGATGTCAACGAAAAAATTCCCCTGTGGGTAACAATGACGATGTCTCCGCGGCCGCAGAAGACGTTCCGGTAAGGGTTTTGGTGCAATAGTAGAAGAGAATATTTAAGTTTCCGTGACCATGCGAGAAAGACCTATTCAACATTTTGACGCTATCGCAGAAGATAATGATTTTTTTCTGCAGGAGATAATTAAGATTTTGCTGCAATTCCGGAAAAAGATTATCAGGGTGTCCACAGAAAATATACCATTAATTTCCATTACTATCCATGACCATTTACCATTGATTTACCTGACTGAAATTATAATAGGCTATAACATACACACATGAATAATACTGCCTGGACAAGTTATTTTACAGAAAATACTGAAATATATATTAACAGATAACAATGTCGTACAATAAGTACAACAATGAACTACCGTAATACAAGCTCAACACTCATACAACTGTAATAAATTGAATTGTTGTACGTTTGTGAAAAATCCTAAAAATGCTACAATAGCCGGGGTTACGGCCTATTAGAGCATTAAAAGGTCCCCTCAAATCCTTCCATCATTGGGGATTTCCAAGACTTTGCATGACTTTTTGCCTATTTCCATGACTTTCAATGACCAGAATTTTTTTCCATGAACATGAACGCAAGAGATATGTTCTGGGTTTGGTTGCAATCACAGTAAACGATGATAATGTTTCCATGACTGCGGGAAGTATACGCGGTTTGCCACGGTCACGGAAGGCAAAGATGATATTTCTGTGACCTATGAAGATATTCAATATTTTGCCATAATCATGGAAGACGATGATGACGTCTTCGCAGTGCCTCGGAAGATGCCGTGCCAAGCTAAATGTGCAAATTTTAGGTAGGTACCAGTGATAATAGTTATAAAGATAATTGGGAGAGGGGGGCCCAGGGGTTCTTATTGCCGTCACTATGTTCATTAGAATTATTGTATAAAAGTACTAGCGACATAGGCTAATTGTTTTAGCCTTTTTTAAATAAGGAAGAAGTTAAAGTTTTCTTTAGGAAATCTATAAGTATAAAAGAGGATGTTTGTATATATATTTGTTTGTTATCATTAAAATTAATAATTTTGCACTAAGGTCTCATTTTAACTTCAGTTGGCAGAACAAATTTTGATACAGTAACTTAAAAGTTTAAACGGAATAAGCAAAACCGACACATAAGTTAACTTACTTTTTCCCATAAGATTGTCATGAAACCATTCTAATGGGGAAGTCAAAATGATATTTAATGGGTAAATTCACAAAAATTGCAATGTTATTTAATTTTTCAGTTTTCAACCATAACTTTTTCAGTATTGGGAGTGGTAAGTAACTTACCATTTAGTTTAGAGGGACTAACTTATAACAAAGGGACCTAACTTATTTTCAAATCACAATCATTCCCACAATTTTTTAAAATCCAATTTTTTATTAGTTTTTAAAAGCTTGGTTAACAACCTATAGGAAAATCGCCGTAGGCCTAACCTTAACTAAAATAGCTAAAAGGCCTATAGACTATTGAACACTTTTTCCCTCTAGGGCACTTTTGGGCCAAACGCACTTCACCCTGAAAATCATTAACACATTGCCGGTACGCAAGCAGGAACAACACTAAAAGAGCCCTATTTTATGCAGTCTGTTACTTCTTGTGTACAGTACTGGTACGGTAATGTTGTAAATGCTTGTTAAAGTTTCCCTGAATAGAGATATCTTACATACCGTTAAAAAATCCCACTCCCCAGAGCCGTACACCTACCCTTAAGTTAACTAGGCTATTTCTTTGTCGAGTACGTATAACTTATGTCCTGTGTGTCCATATTTAAACATAGGTACATAAACATAAAGCTAAGTTTTAATCAAGCGGATCCAATGTATTCCCTGGACTCAAGTGTCTGAAAAGTCATCTCTCCGAAACATGTAACACCATTGTTAAGTTACTTTTGGGGCTGCACTTTACTTTAGGTCCTACACTCATTCGAATGAAAATATCGATTATTCGATAAGTTATATCGTTTGGTTAGTTAGGCAAGGTTAACTTAACCTAACTAACGATATATTGAATGAAACAATAGAATAATCGATAGGCCTATTATTTTTTCTAATGCGTGCAGGACCTAAAGTAAAGTGCAGCCGGCTATTCCTGCATACCTAACTATTTATATGACTCTTTCAACTAAACTACCCCAAAATAAGAAAATGTAAAATTGGCAGGTGACATAGGCCTAATACTTACATCAACCATTTTAGTAGTAAGAGATGCAGATGCACAGAATGCTGGTTCAAAAAATTAAGTAAGTTTTACCCTAATAAAGTTGTAGGCGGAGTATGGAGTAGGTAACCTGTGTAATATAGCTTAGCAAGCAGGACTGACTAGAAGACCTAGGATCCTTAGTTTGTTATCTAATGATGAAAGAATATATTATATAATATATTATCAACTACTCGCGAGCACAAAATTTCACAAACTACGATAACGATTTTTGTTTTATAGCTTTGGAATTGGAAATGGAAATGGCAATATTGGCATTGGTAATAATTATTGGTGACAGACAACCAGTCGACAGTGTAGTAATGAATAGACGACGCTCAGCTGATCTCATCTATTTCATTTCATATTCTAATTCTTTTCTGTCATTCCTTCTTCTGAATCGTTCAGTGTTCCAAATTCCAGCTTACAGCTTTATTTTTCCGATTTTCCGTTATAAAAAGATCAGCTGACTGTGCAGAACTTTTGTTTTAGGGACCAACTACACCATACAATAACATACTATACTCCACTCGCTTTTATTTGATTGGTCATCCTAAGAAAATTCTTTTAGTATTTCCGTCCGGTGCTGCTAGGATCATGTTTTGGTTAAAAATTTGATTCTTGTTATTTCAGTTGTTTAAAAACTTGTATTACCAAATAAAACTAATCATAAACAATAACTCGCCTACTAATTATGTAACCAAAGTAAATATCATAAAATTAACACTAAAAAGTTAACAAAATTTCGTCGACTCTTTAGCGTTTAATGTCACCAACATGAACTAGACACGAAAAACAAGCTTCCTCGAATTATTTTAAAATGGGATAATATAGAATATAGTTAATGGGAGATTTTTTATCGTAGATAAAACCATAGATTAACGAACACAAGTAGACTTCCCATAATAGTAAGTTTGGAAGCTCGTTTAGTCGTTTTTCGTGTCTAGTTCATGTCCGGTGACACTATGGGATACACAACAAATAATATAAATGTTGTTTATATTATTTTAGAGTTAATTTCATGATTTTTGCTTTACTGTTTGGTTATATAACTAGATGATGAGTTATTGTTAATTATATCGTTTTATTTGGTTAAACGGGGTTTTAAATTACTGAAATAACAAGAAACAAATTGTAAATAAAACATGACCTCTACAGTGTACCGGACCACGGCCGCCTTTAACTCCGGGCCGCGGCCATCGAAGTGGCAACGTCGCAAGTGTTGTAACAGCTGTTTTGATTGAAAGCAGCTAGATGGTATTTTGTGTATTAAATTAAAGAAAGATTGGTTACTGGACTATGACAATATTGACTCCGCTTAAAATGTACAGATATAGATTTTTCATTCATATTGTTTCGATTTTCAATTCTGTATGTTTTATTTTCAATATTTTAATTATTTATGTTCATAAATTTAAATTTCAAATCAATAAAGTGCGAATTAATGATCTGATGTCACCTGTCTGCCATGTTATCTTATGGGACGTCTGACACTAAACAACACCACTTGCGACGCTGCTAATTCTACCAGGCCACGGCCTATAATTAAAGGTGGCCGTGACCGGACAGAACTAACGATAAAATCTAATTCAGCTGTCTATGATAAAACATACTCCCTTAGTAGATTTCCCATCCTTATAGCTGATGCCAATAGTTTATATGCCACAACACTGTAATTACATTGAAAATTTGTTATTTGGCAGGCGAAAACGTGTTCCCTATCGAAATTATGTACTAACAACCCGATAAATATTGATGACGGTACCAAGTCAATATCTCGAAAAATGTGCATGAAAAATACACACCTCAATATCTTCCCCGTAGCAGCAAACCTAAAACGCTAACCACAGACAACCGAATTATATTGTCTGTGCCCTAACCACTGAGCTAAAATTATAACTGGAGGTAGCACTGCCATGGCAGAAGTCTGTCAAAAGCGTGTCGCTGATTTTGTTAGGTTGGTATAGCAGTAAGTTTTCTTACCATAGCAATAACATGGCTTCTTATAACTAGGTTGGTATAGCAGTGAGTATTTTTGTCATACTTGAATACTTTTAATACTTTAATAATTTTCTTTGAAATGGCGACCATACAAAGTAGGTATTTTAAGCCAAGTATAATAATAGTTATAGCAATAATATGGCTTCTTATGACACCAGACTCACGCAAACATGGCGGCTGGCGACACGCATCTTTGACATTCAGTGCTACCTCCAGTTAGAATTATAGCTCAGTGGCCCTAACCTGAATTCACTAAATATTTAAATAGGAAATAAATCTGACAATTTTTAGGGAATATTTTAGTCAAAATCCAGCCAGGTAAACTGAAATTCGTTTAGTCTGCAGGTTTGCTGTGGCGGGGGTATTAGGTATTATACAAATTAATGGCATTACCAATATGTTGCATGTTTATACTTGAATTCACTGAAACATCACCAACAACAGATTTTTTTTTACAGCGTTTATTTCTGGTTCAATGTAGACATTATACACAGAAGTGTTAACAAAATTAATAAGAAATTAACTATAATAACATCGTGGGTTCGCCCAAACCTGAGACACCCTGTAACATAATTAATTTAGAGAATAATTTAATCTTCTTTAGGCTTCAGTCATCCAATAGATCTTGAGGCCAGCCATACTCCAAGATATTTTATGGCCTGGTCATCAGGGTTCCAAGGTAGAAAGTTACCATATATTTGAATTTCATGTGGCAATGTATGTTTTTTCAAGGAAAATATTTTGGTCTCACATTTAATTGAATTTAGGCGAAATTTCCACTTGTAGAACCAATCAATGAGAAGATCCACAGAGTATTGCAGGGAATACGTGGCCTCGTGATCGGAATGTTGCACGGCCGCCTTTAACACCAGGCCGCGGCCTTCGAACTGGCAACGTCGCAAGTGGTATTGTAACAGCTGATTTTTTGGAAGCAACTAATGGTATTTGTGTATTTACGAAAGATTGATTACTGGACTATGACAATATTGACTCCACTTAAAAATTTACAGATATAGATTTTAATTCATATTGTTTCAATTTTCAATTCTGTATGTTTTATTTTCAATATTTTAATAAGTTTATGTTCATAAATTAAAAATTAAATCAATAAAGTGCGAATTAATGAGCTGATGTCACCTGTCTGCCATGTTATCTTATGGGACGTCTGTCACTGAACAACACCACTTGCGATGTTGCCAATTCTACCAGGCCGCGGCCTGTAGTTAAAGGTGGCCGTGAATGTTGGCACAGGATAGCAGTGTCGTCGGCGTAGAGAGGTAATGTGAGGCGTCTTCTGGAAGAGGGATGTCTGCCATATATAGATGCCCCATTTTCGTATGAATTTAAACAAAACTACTATGGCCATCTGTTTTGATGTAAACAAATGTAAACTTTTGAAACAGTTCAAATGATTGACAACATAATTCAACACAAACTCAGAATTTTAAAAGCCTATAGGACGAAGGGCTTTCACGACTAAGAATGTTGAAGCTGCATAGTCATACAATTATTAAGACTTATGTCTTCACTAGGAAAAAGAAAAAGGCACGTAATGAAAAAACAATTAGCTTAATCCGCTGTCAGCTGATGTTGATTTGATTTTAGTTTGTTTGGTTTTTGGTTATGTTGTTTGTTATTGTGTTTTTATGGCGGGTAATGGAAACATAAGAGTTAAAAGACACCTAATTTAATACTGTGAAATTATTAGTGGTCAATTCATTGTTTCATTTCTATTGAAATCAAATGCATGTAGGTAATACTGCTTTCTTTTACATTCAATTCAAGTTAACCTATATGGTTTTGTGAGTACACTTACAGTACAGCATATTGTTTGTAAAATAGACTACATTGGAAACATTAGCCTTCAAAACTAGGCTTTGATAGGTAATCGATTTAGTTAAACTAAACTGGTAGCTATGCAGAGTAGGTACCTACTTAAGTTATCATTTATTGATGTTGTGATACATTCTCTTTAGCGTATTTCGCAATAGGGGATGTAGCTATTAGACTACCCATCAACAATTAGTAGGTTAGCCTGAACCTGGTATATGCTGTATGGAAATTCTAATGCTCAACTTGAGATTCTGTTATACAATCTTTCTGAATCATTTCATTCCCACTTGTGTGAACCTAGCAATAGCTCAGCAATAAGTAGTGTGCACGCCTTATAAAATCTATTGCTGGCCGTATTGTGGAAAAATATGGCCTTGTAGCATATTACAATGTCACCAGATAGAGGACACTTTAACGGACACGACAGTATCAATATCATGTACCTGTACCAAATTGTTTACAGTCATGTACCAAAATCAGATTGATACCTTGTGCTAGCCATTCCAACTCTATTATTTATATCTTGTGCTATCCATCCACTGACCCAACAGGCTTACATCTTTTAAATGACAAAAAATAGGATTTGGTTACTCTTACTAGTATCTAGTACAGTAGAGTCCCGCAAACTCGGCACTCGATAACCCGGCAGTCTGGATAACTCGGCCATTACCTGGCTCAGAAAATTAGTGATTTTTTGAGTCAGAATTCAACATGGACTCAAGCCAGCTCAAGTCAAATCATTCGCAACTCGTAAAAAGGATTTGTTGTACTATATCTGATGACTTAATACTGACTTGTATTATAAATATAAATAAAGAAGGCAGGTAAAAGATTACAAAATTTTATTGTTCTTATTTTTAACCCTAGTTCCCGATAACCCGGCATTTCACAAACTTGGCACCCTTCCAGTCCACATTACGCCGAGTTTGCGGGACTCTACTGTATCCTGAATCAGGCATTCTGGTCAGTCCAAGCGAAATGACAGTGGTGTAACAGATTTTTTCGGGCCCCCCTGCAAACTTATTTTTTGGGCCCCCCTCCCATGAGTTATTTTTAGACCACCGTTACAACATAATCAAACACCCTCCCCCTGAGTTTTTTTTAAACCACCGATACAATGATCAAACAGTTAATTTATCATAAATTGAATAGTAAAAAAATTATGGGCAAGTTAGGTAACGTAATAAATTATTAGTAAAAATAATTAAATAAACTAAAGTTAGGCTGCTTGAGAAAACCCGCTTGAGCGTGTCTTGGTGCGGTGGTTAAAGGACATGGCTTCTACTCAATTGATGAGTTTATTTGCCGATTCACTCACCTCCCTGCTCGCCATTTGTGCTCTGTAAATATTAATGTTACAGTAGAGAGTCAAAAATCTAAACCAATTGGCACCGTAGGTAGTTCAGATTACCGATTTGTTTGGATTTTCAAACATATCCTAGACATGCCTACTAGACACATAATTAGGCCTTAAGTATAAAAAATACAGTTCTAGGATACAGTAAATAAAATGAAAACAATGATTTTTGTACTTGGTATTATCGTTACATTACTGTAATTTGTTTCTTGAAAAAATATGTACAAACACAAACAAACAAAAAACAGACTGGTTCGGCCCGTTCACTCATTTCCCTGCCAGGTACTGACTGTTTAGCCCACGAAATTGTAAAACATTTGTTGTCTCTGTGTTAATTCAATATTTTAAAACTCTCAGGGGCGGTTAGGATTTTTGACGTTTCGGTTTTTTGACTCTCTACTGTAGGTAGGCCCTAATTAAATGTTTTTATATTCAATTTTATGTATGAAGTATTGAAGTATTGTTTTAATTTTTATTGACATGAACAATCCAGTTTCCTGTACTAAAAGTTCACGACGGAAGGTAAAGCTAAAGGTAAACATTTCATAAAATGACATGTTAAGTAGCCTAAGTTATTTCAGTCACTACATAATTATATATAGGTATCAATATCAGTGGTTGTAGGCCTAAATAAATAGTTTTAAAATAAAATCCAAATACCTTATTTTTATCCGTATCAGAATGTTTGATATAGGCCTAAAGGAGGTTTGATATTTAATTAAAACACATTTTATAAATAATTAATTCGGTTAGTTTTTTATCAATGGTTATTATTAACTCAGTGAGGAAAATCTGAAGTGAAATCCTCGTTATATTCAGCAGCTAGTTCTGTTGATTTAACATTTAACTGTTCGTCTGTATACTACGATATAAACTGCGCGGTAAGAACAGAATTCACCAGGCATACTTACATTGTTCATCCCCTGAAATATTTAAGTGATTTGATTTATTACAGTATTAAGTTCCATGATACCATTGACTATTGAATTACACAACTGTTTTAATATATAGGTCAGGATCCGATAGGTGGTTCATTATCTGCTAGTTCATCAAAATGTTTTTAGCGAATTTCCCTATAGGAAAGTAGCTATTACCGTAGGTCTCATGGTAAGACCTAGGCCCGGGACCGATTTACTTTTTCATTTTGATGTCCCCAGAGGCCAAAAACACCATTTGTTCAAATTTTTATATATACTGGGTGGCGCATAAAGAACGCATGGATTTGAGTTGAGTGGTGAGAGCAATAGGAGCGTCCGTGGAGGGACAGGGCCTGGTTGTTTTGTAGGTTAGGGTGTCCAGTTTTAGTAGCAATGGTGCAGTTGTCCGTGGTACATCACATTTTTGCGGTAGAACATTTATTCAAAAGTAATTAAATCTGTTAAAACTGTTCAACGGCTTTTCTGCACAAAGTTTAATTTCCGCGATTCCTAAAAAAAGTACAGTAAGGCCCAAGAATTCCCACTTTCCAAAGTTACACCAAACGTTAAGTTTCAAATCGTGCAGTGGTTTTTGATGCATTTCTTTTGGGTCTTCTGCTGCCAAATAGCACCAGTTTTGCTTATTGACATAACTATCCAAATAAAACTGCGCTCCATCATTAAGGGTCCGCCCTACCTCTGCCGTTTTGTGCAAACGCAAGGGGCTGGTGCAACTGAGTTACCGAAGGCTACATTTAACGTAGAATCGAAATAAGGGTGTCATTTTGAAGATGATAAAATTATCTAAATTATTGTAGTTTCAATATGTTAACTATTGTACCATGAAGCCTGAAAATATTCTTTTGAATGTTTACGAAAAATGGCAATTTTAAACTGCTGTAACTTATTATAGAATCGTTACTTTAAAAATGTGAAACTAGAATCACTTAGATTGTTCTTTGTTCTTTAAAACACCGTTTGTTGTTTTTTACTAGCATGTATGGGTAGCTTACAAAGTCAGTTACCGTGAACCTCTGCAACTAGCAAATTTGAAGCCGTAACGTACCGAACCTTGCGGCCGCGAGTGGAACTACACGCGTACAGCCCCTCCACGGTCATATTGCTTCCCCTCCTCCAATTCTCAGCTCTCAGCTGAGAAAGCTTTCTGCACTGACTATATAATACCGTACTTCTGCTGTACCCACAACACACACAACTATATTTGGGCTCATCGATGTATACATCGATGTTTTGGCTACACTAAATTGTCTACACTGTTGTTAAATAAACATTTCAGTTTAATGAACGAATCTTTTTTATACAGATACTAGCAGAATACCCGCCCGTTGTTAAATAAACATGTCAGTTTATTGAACGAGTCCTTTTTACATAGATACTAGCAGAATACCCGCCCTTTATACGGGGTTGGTGTACGTTTTCAATGGGGGAGGACACGGTTTTAGAATTTTTTTGTTCCTTTAATGTACGGCATGCTATAGTTACCACATCTACCATAGCAAAAATGGTCTATCACCATATGGAGCTCATAATACAAAATTTAAGACCAACCCGACCAGTAGGTAATGCGTGATGACCTTAAGTCATCCGCCCATGATGTGCTAAAGGTTGATGCGTAAGCTTCGGCCTACATCATGGGGCCCGGGTAAGTCTCACGATAGGTACCGGGTATGCAGTCAGGGGGCTTCGGCTCTCATGACAAATAATGTAATGTAATGTAGTAGGTAATGCGTGATGAACTTCAAACAAACAAACAAACGCACAAAATTTCACATTTATAATATTTGTAAGATAATAATCTGGTTTGTATGAGAAACTAGATTAAGATGAACTATGAACGTACCACAACACGTATAATGGTTCTAATGCTGTACCGGTAACGATTCGCTCAAAACTAAAACTAAATTGATAATAAGATGAAAAGTATTTTATTTATATCATTATAATTGTTTGTATAGAGTATAGCAATAAGTATGACTGACTAGGCCGATGGTTTGCTACCTATGTACTACCAGTACTGTACAACTCAGGATGGCTAGTGTAGTCCACCACTCTAGAGCGGTGGAGGTTGATGATCAGCTGTTGTGAGACTGGGGTGGAACACCCCCGCAGGCAACATTGGACCATTGGACGCGCCCACGAAGGCCGCGCGATAGGGCTTTCTGCTATACTAGCATCCATCACCAGCACACGTGCACAGTCTCATTCTGCTATAATATCGTTTGTAATACAGTCCACTCTTGGTAATTCAAACACTTGATAATTCAAAACTTTCGATAATTCAAAATGAAGGCTCAGTCCCTAGAGAATCTCTCAATATTTCAAATTTTTACCATGCATTTTGATACACTCGGTATTTCAAAGTCCAAATAGAGGGCAGGTCAATTTGTAACACGCAGTAATTCGAAGTTTCGTCGGAAAACACTCTATAATTCGAAGTAACTCAGTAATTCGAAGTTTCGTCGGTTAACACTCTATAATTCGAAGTCATGCTGTAATTCGAAGTTTCGTCGAAAAAACACTCTATAAATCAAAGTCACGCTGTAATTCGAAGTTTAGTCGGCAAAACACTCTTAATTCGAAGTGATCTCTTCCTGTTATAACAGGAAACTATACAGTACAGTACATCCTGTTCCTATGGTAGGCTAGTGTTGGACGTTTTGATGTTTGTTTAGTTAGAGCAGTAGTCTGAGTTAGTTCACTGACTTGTTTTTCTAAGTTGGCAATCCGATCTCTATTGTCAGGACCACATAAGTTTGCAGTTGAGGGAGGAGACTATTTACCATATGGTTTTGAATGAACCAATGAGAACGGTGCGGTGTTGCCAAATCTAATAATACCAGCTGATTTGAAATTATTGCTTTTATATTTTAATTAGTGTTGTCAATGGGCGATGTGGCAACGTCGCACTAGCCTTGTCTTGTGATTGGCTGCCACCAACTGCAAACTTACGTGGACAATAGATTGCGCGACATCTCCTTGAGCACAAACGTAGTTGTCGACAGCTGATAGTTCAGCTATTGGCGAAATATATAGCGCTAAATAACAGACTTCTTTGCAACTAAAGTAACTGAAAAATAAACCGTTGATTGTTTAAAAGTGTACTAAAATACGGTACAGTATGATGTTTTATTGTAACGTGCTGTACCTTTGTATGTATTAGAAAATGAACTCTCTGTAATTGGAATGGTTTATTTTTCTCCCGACGTCCTGTCAGAAGTTGGTTGAGCAACTATTGTACAAGCAATTTTCAGAAAATTCCGCAATAAGGTAAGTTAAATCAGATATAAACCAATGTTAATCATTATGCATATACATACAGTATATAATACGTGAAGGTGATTAATAAGATACACTACTACTACACTAGGTACAGCGAGACGCGGTCCCTACTTTACAATTGCTCGGATTCGAGCAACAGGTGCACTATTCTAATCTAAAGGTTATCTATGAGATTTAAGAAAAAATTACTATACAAACTAAAAGTTTCGCCTCCCTTACAACATTACAATTTAAAAAAAATATTTTATATTAACTTTAAAATGGGTAATTTGTACTAACAAGAACATACTATTAAATATAAATGCATTATTATATTGTCATCAATGACGTGGGTACAAGCAATTAGTGTTAGATTTTTGATAATAATAAACCTGAATTCCCACTAAAAATGAAAACTAATGTAATTAGAAAACCCAATTTTGGGAATAAATTAATTGTTGTGCTTCAGATACGGCTTGGAAAATGAAAAGCATGCAATCGCAGAACTAGAGGAACTGATTCTTGAGAAGGTGGAAGAGTGTGGCCTATTTGTTGACAGGATGCAGCCATTTCTTGCCGCTTCACCCGATGGTGTCGGACAATAATCGGGGGCTTGGGTTTAGTAGAGGTGGGTAAACTTGTATATTTATTATTTATACTCAATCGCCTAAAAACATTAAATTTGTAACGCATTACCTTGTACATTTACGTTTCCAAAAGAGAAGAAATACTCAACTGTTGTAATATTTATCATTCCAGATAACATATTTATTCTAAAAAGTTATAAATAAATTAGTCAACAAAACAAACATGTGTGAACTAAAGTAATTTCGCCAACAGCATCGTACGTTTGAAATTTATAACTATAACAATTTACAATTCATTGTTGTGGTAGGCCTGCTTTAAAATACTAATAATTGAGTCGTGTATTTCATTTAACTAAATCAAATTTTGGGTGTGATTTGCAATACTGTACCAGAATTTTGCTACATCATCTGTATTTTGTTTTACAGGTCAAATGTCCTGCATCAGCTAAAGACCTGACACCAGCTGATGCAGTTGTTGAAAAGAAAATAAAGTTTTGTGTGCTGGATGAAGAAAGGAATCTAAAATTAAAACGGAGCCATTGCTACTACTACCAAATCCAGGGACAGCTCCACATAACACAACAAAAAAATTGTTGGTTTTTGGTGTGGACTAACAAAGGCATGTCCATAGAGAAAATCGTGAGGGACGACCAGTTTTGGGAAAACAAAATGGAAAAACCCCTGACTAATTTTTATTTCAAATGTGTATTGCCAGAGCTGATCGACCCAAGACACCCTCGGGGACTCCCAATAAGGGATAGGTTTTGAAAAGTTTTGTCGACGAATACAACTGATAATTATTGTAATTATTTAATAATTTGTAAATGAAGGTAAATTATTAATAATTGAAATAAATTTTTTTTATTTCAACTGTTGTTTTTATATTTCAAAATATTGTACCTACCATAACTGGGTTTACTTATGGTACAGTAATCTGTTTACAGCCAAAATGCATTTACTGACAAAACCCAGTACTGTAGCCTACTTTAAATATTTATTTAGTACTAGCTGTACCCGCGGGCTTTGCCCCGTTTAACTTCTTAATTTTTTAGATGATCTCGTTCGCATGGCTCAATCACGTCCTGGTTGAAGTTCGTCTCTACGCTCACTCACTTTTAGGTTGGAGCTCGTTCGCTACGCTCACTTGCCTTCAGGTTAGCTCGTTCGCTACGCTAACTCGCCTCCAGGTTGAAGTTCGTTCGCTACGCTCACTCACCTTTTGGTTGCAAATTAGCTGTTGTCATAAATAAAAAAAATAATAGTGCTGCACCCTGTTGGTAATCCTAGTAACTTTAATGCTATTGCACATCATAGAACAGAACCAACTTGTTTAATTGAAACAGCTGTTAAGATTCATTAATTCCATTTAAATATGAGTACTCATAAGGTTAACATGGGAAATTCCAGAGCCACTGGGGCGGAGCCCGAGAGTCCGATCAGAATAAAAACAACTTAGTTTTCCTATTTAATGCCTAAAGAATCAGTGTACCAAATTTCAGCCTCCTAGGTAAATGGGAAGTGGGAGAATTAGTGATGAGTGAGTGAGTCAGTCAGTCAGTCAGTCAGTGAGGGCTTTGCCTTTTATATATATAGATATGGATAAGCACGAGTGGTGAGTTTTGAAGTATTCCCGGCGCTCATTAGACCGCGCCTTGGCTCGCGGTGTTTTGGTATTGGTGTTTTGTGGAGTGGAAGTTGCACTAGTGGCAATGATGAGTATGCCAGTGCGCGTGGGTAAGCGGTTCCTCTCCTGCGTCCTGCTGGGCGCCGCCGCCGCCGCGCCGCTTTCTCATCCCCTCTCCCACTCACTCGGCCCCTCTCCCGCTCCCCTCCGTTGTGCAGCGCTCCAAGCGGCCGTTAGCTACATCGTGCTGAGATTTCCGACTCGGGGTCCGGCGGACCCTTAACATCATAAACAAAACGCCATCAGTGGCAAGAACATCAACCATTCTCTCAAAACAGTTTCCATTTTCGTAATCACGTTCATAAATCTTCTGTACGATCATAATTTTGTAAGGATGAAATTTTAACTCATCTTTCAGGTTGCCCTGCAACGAGCGTCAAGACAAGCACACAGTTGGAGCGCATCGCCTAGTGTAGCGGCGAGGGCTTTGAATAACAGACGCCATTACTCTGTAGACATTTTGTGGAGTTCACGCCGTGCAAGGATGAACAAACCACTTCTGCTTCATAACTGATTCAGTTGTGCGAAAAGAAGCTACCGAACAAAGTATTGTGTTGCGATCGGGTTTTGTTTTGAACCATTGTGCACGGAGAAGCCATTGAACAGTTATATCGGAGATTCATTATTTTTGGATAAATGTTCTATAGCAAAACACGATTCGCCAGATCGATTGCACCATTGTTACTAAAACTGGACGCCCTAACCTACAAAACAACCAGGCCCTTCCCCTCCACGGACGCTCTTATTGCTCTCACCACTCAACTCAAATCCATGCGTTCTTTATGCGCCACCCAGTATATATGAATTAAATTGTTTGAGATGCAGGTTTTGTTAAATTTGATGTATTTATTAATCTTCTCTGTTTTGAGGGTCAAATACTTGATTTGATGTATAATATGGCTAACGACCAGAATATTATACATCAAATCAAGTATTTGACCCTCAAAACAGAGAAGATTAATGAAGACATCAAATATATATATATATATATATATATATATATATAAATATATATATATAAATAATTGAAAACATTATAAAAACATAAGTACCCTTTTTAGATTCATTTTTAATTAATAAACGACATGTTTCGACACTTAGGTCATAGTCATGTTTACATTTACAAATACAATAACAAAAATAATTAATGAAAGGAATAAATAGTCATATGTTAAGTTAACTTAGAATTTAGAGGATTTTGATTTAATCTTTGTTTAATTTTGTGTATATTATATAATGTTTTAGTTTTATTGCAACTGTAGGATTTTTTAATTTACATTTAAAACAAAGATTTGAAAAAGAGAAAAACATCATCCTATATTTAGCCTTGAAAAATGGATACAAATCTTCTATAATTGAAAAAATGATTTGAAGGAAAATTAAAAAGAAATCTGAAACACAAAGATCAATTGGAGAAAACAATAGAAAAGAATATATTTGCATACCCCATAGTACAACCATAAACAAAGCAACAAGAAAAACCTTCCAAAATTCAAATTTGAAAATAAGTTACAGAACAAAAAATAATGCCTTTCAGATGATAAAAAACAAAATTTCTAATGAAGCACATAAGAACCAAGTTAAAGATATAAACAAATCAGGCATTTATCAAATTAAATGTTCAGACTGCAACAAATCCTACATTGGCCAAACAAGTCGTAGCTTTAAGAAAAGGTTCCAGGAACACATACAAGCGTTAAAATCAGGTAACAAAACTACAATGAAATCAAATTTTGCAGAGCACCTAATCGAAACTCGACATGAGTACAAAAATATAAATGAAAATTTAGAAATTCTAGAATATGAAAGAAATAAAACAAAATTAAATGTCAAAGAAGATTTTCATATATACAAAAATTACAAAAAATACCCTCAAAATTTATTGAATACCATGAACATAAATAAAACAAATCCGATATTTGAAAAAATCCTACAGTTGCAATAAAACTAAAACATTATATAATATACACAAAATTAAACAAAGATTAAATCAAGATCCTCTAAATTCTAAGTTAACTTAACATATGACTATTTATTCCTTTCATTAATTATTTTTGTTATTGTATTTGTTGTTGTTATTGTAAACATGACTATGACCTAAGTGTCGAAACATGTCGTTTATTAATTAAAAATGAATTTAAAAAGGGTACTTATGTTTTTATAATGTTTTCAATTATTTATATAGTAGTAGCCCTAACCACAATCATACTTAATATATATATACTAGAGCACCCGTGCGGCTCAATGAGCCGCATAGTATGAAACATAACTCATTGAACTTGAGGCATTTACTGCTCTTCCATTAAAACTGATTAACTGTTTAACTTGGTCTTAACCTACTGAATATTACAAACATTAATATTTACTCAGCAAAAGCTAATGAGTTTCTTTTTATAAACAGCTGTTTTTGTTTTTAAATTTGTTCTGTGTATTTCTTATGGGGAAAACCCGACCTTTTAGAGGGTCTCACGCCCTTAAGAGTAGGAATTTTATAATTTTAAAACCTTATTGCAAAAATACATATTGAGACAAATCTTTTGACACCTTAAACGTTGAAATTGGTCCATAAATAAGGGAGGAGTTGCGTTAACAAAAAACGGCTTCACGTATTATATATATAGATATATATATATGTGTCCATCCGCACGATAACTTGAGTAATTTTTGTCCGATTTCGATAAAATTTTGTTTAAAGGTTTAAGGCGGGATAAACTTGAACGAGTTCGCGAACCAGCATGATCGGACTATGGGAACGGGGGTTTTATGGGGTAAAAATAGGTTTTTCCCATTTTTGACCCAAAAAACATAAAATTTTGCAAAATCTTTCCAAACCATTTTGTAGAGCTTAAAAAACAAATAATTTAGTATATTGAAGTGTTACTATGCACCTAATGGTTACGGAGAAAATTCCAAAAAAATATAAACTTTAGATTCCCATGTTATTCTTATGGAGAACAAGTAAACTGTTGTAGTTTGCTTGTTTATGAACATATTTTGATCAAATTTGGAAATTGTTTTTATTTCTTACTAACTATTAACATTTTACAAAAAAAACTGTTTTACCCTCCCTGATGCAGCAAACCTAAGTACCTGTTAAGCTAATTCTATTTAAATAGGAAATAAATGTTAAAATTTTTAAGTAGACATTTTAGTGTAAATCCAATCAGGCAAATGGAAATTCGCTTAGTCTGCAGGTTTGCTGCGGCGGGGGTATTTTTAAATTGTATTAACCTTAAATATTTAATTTGTTACCTTAGTTCATTCTCACTTTTAGGCCTAACAACATTAAATGATGTCAACATATTACTAACATTAATGTTTTACTATTATTTAATTAGTGAGTTGGTGGCTCAGTCGGTAGCATCGCGGACTTCGGGCCCAAGGCAGCGATGTCGTGGGTTCGGATCCTGGTCACTGCCACTAAAATTTATCAGTACAGTCCACCTTTGTACTGTACCGGCTCACTCCTTTCTTTGCTGTAAACGTTGCACGCACGGGCGGTTAGTCTATGTGGACGGATAAATGCAAGGTTAAAAGAGGCCGCCAACCTCTTAAAAAAAAACAAAAAAAAAACAATTATCTATAATATTAAAACGAAAGTGTGTTTTTTTATTTCACGATTCTGAATCAACCACTCTACGGATTTTCATGATTTTTGGGTTGAAAGAAAGATAATTTTGAGAACTAGGGAATGTCGAAGCCATAATTTTAGTTTAGGGTCCCAGTTTTTTAGAAATTAAGTTTTAATTTTTAAAAAGTCTAGCAGCCGACGCTAAGATTCTAAACTAGCTTTTGGCATAAAATAATTTGCTTAACATAACAGCTGTAAACATTCAGCTTTTGTGTCACAAATTCAGCATTTGGATAAAAATGTAAAGACATACCTAGGGTTGACTTATTTATACTATGTGTAATGCTAATCATTGATACGTTCAATTCTTCTGTAAGAGGATGGCAGATTAATTAAATATACATAGTAAAATACTAGGATGTTCAAATTATTTTTTAAAGCAATCTTTGTAATCTTCGATTTGTTTTAGAGCAATATAATTTGTTTTAACTAACAGCTGGTTAAATATAAACTATGGAACT